ACCTAGCTGTAAATAGGGAGTTAGGCAACTGTTGTTGGGTGCATCCTGGGGAGGGTCAGTTGTTGAATTGGGGGAACCTCAGTAACTATATAATAGGTTTCATGGTCCCCGGCAACCACAATTATATGCAACTGGTTCACTGAGAACGTCATTGTTTAGCTTAAGGATCATTTTGCTTCACTTCTTAAACCCATTAGTGACACAGAAACCCACAGAATGGGTATATAAGGTTTACTATACCACTAACAGGTTGGGTAAGAGGCCTCTTGTGGAATCCATGAGTTGGTATCGTGAGTAGCGTATCTGTGTGTTATGACTGACTAACATTTGGCCAGTAATTGGAGAGATAAATTATGTCTGGAGACGAGGATTATTTAGGGATTACGACCGTAGACGCCGCCGGCAGGAGGTCCTGGGATAGACCCCAGGGGTGTTGGGAAGCCTGTAATTCTGAATATACCTGAAATATATCTGTAAATATACGAAACTATATTCACCATATATGTACAAATGTATTTCCGGTACACATATACAGTTATTAGAGATTGCGGGTGTGCAGGTGCCTGCCAGACTACCGCCCATGAGAGGATTGTGTGTGTAGCACTCTACTGCCCCTAACGTGCTACCAAAGGCTATGGGTGCACCTTAAGAGTAACAAAGCAAGCTGATTACGGAAACTTTCAAATGAAAACATTTACAATTATTTTTCTACAGGGATGGCTTTAATACTTTTGGATGGCAGAAATAAATTTAGATTACATATGAAGTGGGATTTTACACTAGGCTTCTTCCAGCTTGTGTTCATAAAATACTTTCCTACAACTTCCCAACCCCCCCAACCCCTCCCTCCTCCGTTTCCCATAACTTTGCATTTGCTAGAGTTAAATTCTTGAAGAGATTTGTGTGACCATCTTGCTGCTTGTTTGAATCATCGTTCAGCACCTTAGTGTCCACCGTTGTTCTTTTCATCCACGAGCATTGACATGCACGAATTTACTCTCTCAGGCACCTTATTTATTTGGATTAGGAAATGTTCCAAAATTGCTGCCTGCGAGACTTCACCTGCTGGGTGAACCAGAGAGTGGAGTCACGCTAATCTTGTACCAAAAGTGTACATAAATAGGATGACAGACAACATCTTACAGCATTAAAAGTGGCAGTAGGTATGAGAGGTTCAAGGAAATTGAAAGTCGTGTACACAAAATACAGACCAATAATACCCTCCATCACTCTGACTCGACTTATTTCTCTCTCGCCCATAATTCTTTCCTCTCAGCTCCCCATCTTCACATTTTGTGGCAGCTATCCCTTCCCAACTCACAGTCAACCCGACCCCCTCCCGCTAACCATAACTCCTGGCTTAACCCATCTTGCTAGCCCCCTACCACCTCCCTCTCCTCCCTTCACACCTTAAGACCCGTCTCCGCAGCACTCAGCATCACCGTCGCCTCATGCTCCAGCCACACGACACATCCAGTGGCTATAAACAAGTGTTTGGGTTTTGGCCCAATCAAGGGCCAAAACGCAAACACAAAATATAGCAAGTTATTATTCCGTGTACACCAAACCACAATCAAGGAGAAAGCAAGTGTATAGGGCGCTGGTGGCTGAGTGGACAGTACGCTGGATACGTAGTCATGTGGTCCGGGGTTCGATTCCCAGCGCCGGCGAAAACAAAATTGGCCAGTTTCTTTCACCCTGATGCTCCTGTTACCTAGCAGTAAATAGGTACCTGGGAGTTAGGCAGCTGTTACGGGACTAAACTAAAACGAAGGCAGGAGGTCGTACACACGTAGGGAACAAGTCGTGTCTCAAGATAACATCAGTGAAGACAAAAAGAGAATGCTAAAGACTAAATACTGTCTCAAAGAAGTGAATGAAAAAAATAAAAACACTGAAAAGACGCTCCAGGTGATTCTGTGCCAACTTATAGGAAATGTTTTAGAAAAAAAGTTTCACGGTGATCACGGTAGATGGTGGAACCTCACCACTACTGTGTTGTGTCTCAAACCATCAGCAATAATAGTGTAGGAAGTGACAGTCTCAGACCACGGAGGAAGAATTGAAACAGGCATTTCCTTAAGTTTAAGTACTTTCGTATATTAATACATCTTCAGAAGGAATGAAGTGTGTTTGTACGAACGAATAGTGTAGTGTAGGACAAATAGAACGAACAGTGTAGGAAGTGTGTTTGTCCCTCATGCACCCGGCTGGGTGTTGCACTCAACTCAGTGTGCAACAACTTATTGAAACTCTAAATCAAGCTCTCCACTAGGCTTCTGCCTCAAACTTTAGTTTCACGAAATCAATTCTATAAATGATTCATTGCCACAGAAATGATCCAAAAAATTATTTCCAAGTACCACCTAAGCACATACGTAGACATAAATATAATATATATTCCTACCTGTTCCTTTGAGGAGCCTCATTACCCGGGGGCGAGGGAGAGACATTGACCTGCCTGGTGTTAACACTGAGGCTCCGGCCGGCGTCGCTGACCCCGGCCACCGCTGTTTACACTTTCGCATTGCAAGGAATTCCTCTTGACCACTTCGTCTGCTGATTTGATTGGATGATCCATAGATGTGTGGCACCTCTTGCACGATAGCATGATGATAGATGGAATTACTGGTGTCTATTTCACTTTGCCTCAGATCTACTATTACTCTCAAGACTGCTTATTGATAATTTCAGCCATATCATGGACACCTGACTAGTTATAGATGACTTCAGTGCTCACCACTCGTAAATTTCAGCCATATCACGGACACCTGACTAGTTATAGATGACTTCACTGGTCACCACTCGTAAATTTCAGCCATATCACGGACAGCTGATTAGTCATAGCTAGCTTCAGTGGTCACCACTCGTGGAGGCGACCTACACTTCTTGGTTCCAACCTCAACACTGCTGGTTGGTCCCTGTCCCACTTTCTCATTGACTTCCCTGTTTGCTCGTGTTCGCTGCTATTCTCGTCGTCTTAAATAATACAATTACCAAAAACGAGGCAATAGAAGTTTATAAAGTTAAGAATATGAATAAATGAATGGCACATTATCATATAATTAGCGCATGTCTTCATATAATATGCGAGTTCCCGTGGTGAAGGGGTTAAGCCGCTCGCCTGGCGTTTCGCAAGCGGGTTCGGATTTACTGGGCGTCAATCCTTAACTGTTGCCTCTGTTTACCCACCTGCTCGTTCTTACCCAACCGGTCATCTGGTTGTTAAACGATTTGGCGGGTCGTATTCCGGGGAACATAGGATTAATGACTTGTCTGAAACCCTACGCGTACTAGTGGCTGTACAAAAATTTTATAAAAATAAATAAAACAGGTTCTTTTAATTATCTCTACAATTTAATGGATAAAAAGTTTTCCTGCCTTAATATGTTTATATTATGATAATCACATTACAACATATCTGCACTGCAGATATAAACATATCTGCATTAAAATCAGTGTGCAATTCCAGTTTTGGCCTCCACTACCCCCTCACTTGTTCCCACCATCCACCACTCTGCATGAGTGGACTTTAATGTTTTTTTCCGGCAGCTTTATTTCCTTAGTTTCCGAACAGTTTATTTTAGCTTGTATGTTGTAATAAATTATTCCAACATTTACAGTTGTTTCTCATTGTAAAGATTATTAAAAAATGTGGTTTTAAGGGCGCGGGACGCCAACAGCCTCGGACCGGCGCACCATATCCTAGTCTCATAGTTCCACCTTGGAGGGGCTGGGTATAAGTCTAACATGTACACTGGCTGCCTGTCCCGCCATAGCCTAGTCTCATAGTTCCACCTTGGAGGGGCTGGGTATAAGTCTAACATGTACACTGGCTGCCTGTCCCCCTACACAATTATTTATTATTAACTATTATTTTTAATAATTAACTATTTATTTAAATATTAAATACAATAATTTATTAAAATATTAAATAAAATAATTTATTTAAATATTAAATAAAGTATTTTTTAAATATTAAATAAAATAATTTGTTTATAATTAAATTAAAACTTATTGAATAATTATAGTAAGTACTTAACAATTTAATAATAAGTAGTAAATACTTAAAAATTATTAACAAGTACAGTTCCTAGATTGGAATTCACAACCAAATTTTAATATATCCAAGTATTTTTAGTGTGAAATTCTGTTATTATATGCATAATTTGTTGTTTTAATAATATTACACCCAACCACTTGGGCTGGACGGTAGAGCGACGGTCTCACTTCGTGCAGGTCGGAGTTCAATCCCCGACCGTCCAAGTAGTTGGGCACCCTTCCTTCCCCCCCCCCCCCCCGTCCCATCCCAAATCCTTATCCTGGCCCCTTCCAAGTGCTATATAGTCGTAATGGCTTGGCGCTTTTCCCTGATATTTCCTCCCCTTACGGACTGGACTGATTACGGACTGATGCTTAATTTATTTTTGGAAATACATCACATTTCAACAAAGAGCAGTACATCCTAACCAGATGATAACGATAATATCCTCAACAGTAGATAACAAAAAGTAATTGCAGAACTCAATTTACCTAATACCAGCATGGAATAAAACCTTATCATAAGTTTCGGGATTTGTAAATCAGTGTTTAAGGGAATTCGGAAGTAATAATAATACAGCTGATGCCATCTCCTTATTAGTCTCCGTGGTGTAGTAGTAAGACACTTGCCTGGCGTTCCGCGAGCGCTATGCAATGATTGTAACTAAATGAATTATGGGGTTCAGTCCCTGAGCCCATTATGTGCCTCTGTAACCCTTTCCACTACCGCCCACAAGATGGGTATGGGGTGCATAATAAATGAACTAAACTAACTAACTTCGACAAAACGAATTTAAGACTTTTTCAAAGTACTAAATAATGGTAATTTTTGCCGAAACGCTGTGCGTATTAGTGGCTTTAGGTATTGTATGTACTAGCTCAATGTATAAATCCAACATTATGTTTGTAACTCCTCTTCAATGTATGTACTTTTACCTGAATAAAATTTGAATTTGAATAATAATGAACCGAAGACCGATCCGGAGCAGTCGTGGAGGCGGATCTGAGGCTCAGGAACGCTGGCCGCCTCAGCTGATTCATGGTAAACAACACGCGTCTCGGGCGTCTTGTCGCAGTGTTTATAATGGTAATCATTATTTCGTTTAATTGTTACCTTGTAGCTTGGCAACAAAGACCTAAGATGATGCAGCACTGACAGTTGGAGTAAGATCTGTGTGTAGCTTGGCATTGAACACCCGCCGCCCCTTTTTCAACTTCATACAATTTTGTTTTTTGACTCATAATTCCTCTGTAATAGAGCATACCACAGAGCATTATAGTTCTATGATACGAACTGTCTAATAAACTAAAAAATCAAATCCATGAGCAGTGTCTCCACCCACAGTTATTGTGTTCTCTTGTACACTGCTAAATCCTTATCTGTAGATTGTATATTTTGTATTTATAAATTATATATTTTGTATTTGAAAGTGTTTTTTTGCACACCTTCAGTACATAATATACTTTCCAAATACCTATAAATCTCATGAACTAGTGCAGCAGGGAAGCTTGCAGCTAGCAAGCTTCCCTGCAGCTGGCCTTACTGCTTGGGTTCTTGAGCATTTAAGGAAAATTGCTTATAGTAAAAAATACACGGGAAGGTTTGTGTGTTATATTTAGTGCATTATAAAAGGCACAACAGAGTATCAACTCTCCTTTATTTTCAGGCGGGTCACCCTAAAGATGTGGTGATAACTGATGAGCACCCCAAGACACTCCTGCTCCAGAAACACGCCGATTATATTGTTGGATACAGCAAAAAAAAGGAGGATTATGTAGGTTTTAAAATGTATCTGTTGCAATTTTTATGATATTTTGCCAGAGATATCACACACAAGCACACAGGTTTGTGCTTGGCGGCCGCAGCTGCTGGGAGTCCCTCCACCAGGACTGTAGTTGTGTTAGGGAGGGGGATGGAGAGCGAACACGGCTTCCAAGTGTGACCATTGACACCAAAAATATAATACATGCTTTGAACTTTTGAAAGGAATTTTCAGAGGAAAAAAAATTGGATGCTGCTAGTTGTCCTTTCCTTATCTGTGCCTTTCAGAGATATTTTGGGTCAGGGTGTATGTATCCTGGGCCGGAAGAATTTCATCAGGAAAGTTACAGACATGGTCAAATTGTTTGAAGAACAGTACATTACATGAGTACTGTACCTTGAAATGTTTTCTTGCAGATCTGTACATAATAAACACGTGAACATTCGAGGGTGTTTTTACACTATTTAAATTAATGAAGGTGATGAACAAATAAGTAATGATATTTGATCATTACAATTTAGTCAAATATAATAATGAAGTAACCAGAACTTTTAAAGAAAATTGTCAAATCTCTAATGAGGTGCAAAGTATATTTATTTCCTTGAATATGAGAATTTTTAAAAATTTATATATGTTTTTTTAAATACTGTACTGTATGCATTATTTTCAGTGTAAAAATAATTATCGTAATTATTATTATAATTATTTTTACATTTCATGACTTTTTCTGTGCCCAGGAATTTACGATGACTGAGCACTTCCGGATGTCTGGCATGTACTGGGGCATCACGGCAGTGGATCTGTTGTCACAATTAGAGAGGATGGATCGTTCTGCAATAATTGAATTTGTCCGTCAGTGTCAAGATGAGACGACTGGTGGATTTTCCCCAAGTCTTGGCCATGATGCTCATTTACTGTATACACTCAGTGCTGTCCAGGTAAATGACACATTTTTTTGTTTTTTTAATGTTGAAATTGTTGAAGTCATGTATTAATTTACTTAATTTTATGGTTTACTAAAGACAATATTTTCTTGTTAAATACTATTTTCATGTTTACTAAATGAGGGAAAGGCTAGTAGATAAGAATGTGGGAATACTAATAGTATTGGTTTAATTTAGAGTAAGAGAAATACTGTAATAAGGGAGAATAGGTTGGCTCAGAGAAAGAAAGGTTGTACAAATCAGAATTTTACCATGAAAATGGTTGTTTAAAATTTTCTAGCAAAAGAAATTTGTAATCTGCCTTTATGGATTCATTGTGAAGTATCATTGGAGGTTTAAAGATCTATGGGGTTTCAGGGGTTTATTTAACAAGCAAAATCCTCACATGTGAGAGAAGAGGTCAACATAGAAAATGACTATGTTGGGGGATCCTTGAGGGCAAAGATCATCAATTTAAAAATGTTAATGTTTGTATGCAGATGCAGTATTTTTTGCAGAGAGCGAGAGGGGATTGAAAATGATTGGAGTTAAGAAGTAATTATCAAAGAAAGGTACCAAGGCCTGGAGACTATCTAGCACCATATATATATCTCCTGTGACATATGTATAATGTGTGTGTGTTGCAGAATAATCAAAAGGTCCTAATATCATTCAGGATGTGCGAGTTAAGAAAGCCCTTACATAGGAAAACTGTTACTTGTATATGGAAAGGGCAGATATGTAGCAAACAGTCCAAGGGTTACAGTGAATCTGGGCAAAAGTAAAATAATGGTGATTGAGAAAGAAACTCATTGTTTGAAATGAGAGGTAGGGCTGTAGAAATAGACAACCCAAGATGTTTGTATGGTGTTAGAGAGTAGATGGGATAAGAAATGAAAGTGTCACTGAAAGATTTGAAGTCACTTGTAGGAGATTTAATGTGTCCAATAATATTAAAAATAATGTGTGGGCAGTTTAAGAGTTAAAGTGGCAGGGTGGCGCTGTAGATGTATCATGAAAGATAGTGTATGGATGGGGGGTGTCTATTTTTGTATACAGTACCTTTGTTAACGTGTTCGCCTATTTTTCGGGGCTGATGCCAACCCACTTCATGAAAGTGGGAAACAAGGTGATGGTGATGAATATGGATATGCAATGCTGTATTATCATTTGTGAGGTTGAAAATATGAATACAGTACAGTATATGGATATAATATACTGTACTGTATATGTACTGAATATCAAGTAAAATATGTTTATTTATGTGAGGTCACAGGAGATTTGTATACAAATTAAATAAATTTTGCCTTATTTTTTGAGGTTTTACTGGTAATTCATTCTAGGTAAGCATCATGGAGTATTCCTTTTTCTACTTTCAGATACTTGTAATATTAGATGGTATGGATGACGTGGATGTTGATGGTGTAGTAAGGTTCATCGTGGGTCTGCAGAATGAAGATGGGTCGTTCTCTGGTGACCAGTGGGGGGAAGAAGACACCAGATTTTCCTTTTGTGCCGTTGCATGTCTGGCTTTACTTGTAAGTAATTGTTTACCAGTTCTTGTTTATGATTGACCTGAATATTAGTCGCTGTGCAGGTATTTTTATAATGCAAGCCTGTTTGCTGTGATCAGTATTTTGAAAATGTAAGTCTATTTCCTATATAACATTTATATAATGTCAGCGTACTATTCTGAGGGAGGCCCCTTGTGGTTCCCTGAAGCTACTGTCTCTGATAGTGTGCCATACTACTAGGTCCCATCAAGTCATGAAGTTCAATGCATTAAATATGTTTAATGCATGTATAGTACTTACAACATGGTAGAAGATTTGCTGTGCTAGGCTGACCCGAGTCATGGTTATGCAATTGTCACACTCGCCACGCCTGCTTTTAGTTGTTCCAAATGGTGCTTGAAATGTAGATAGTTATACAGTATATATATAACATGTCTACAGCATAATAATAGAAAAAGTATGTTTTATCGTTCAAAAAATATAATATAAGTACCTATCAGTGACCCAAATGTTTTTGAGTATCGATGTTTTGTACAATTTATTATAAATACTTCTCAAATTACACAATATTACATAATATAACTGCAAAAAAAACAGTAAAAAAAGTCACCGACACTGAAATAAATCGGTATAAATACTTTTGCGGCAACTCCCGCTTCTCGCCTGGCTTGGGCAACCCTTGCACAGCATCTCGTCCATCAGCGATCACGAATCGGTGACGTTATCGTAATTTTTCCTCTCTCCACCATAGCCAAGGTACGCTACATAAAACTTTTATTTTTAGTTTCCTGTCATGAGGGAACACATGATTAGTGGGCACCTTTTCCCAGGGATCGGTTACATGTGTCTTTGGACTCGTCACGATTATTCTTCTAAAAGTTTCTATCTTCTTGGGTCCTTCCTGTATTTTTTTTTTTTTTTTTTTTTTTTGGTGGTTGCCACCACTGGGCAACCAGAGCCAGGTTGTCTAGTAGTGGCAGCCGGCAGTAATTGGTTTCAAACTAGAGTGAATTCCTTGTTGTGTGTGAATCATTTGCAGAGTTGTTTGTCAATTTCAAGGCTTCTGTGATTCCTGCAGCTGTCTATAATGCTTCACCGATTTTCTGGAGGCTTTTTCCGGTGGCAGATTGTTACTCATTCCCTGTGAGGGAACCAGGTTCTGGCTCTGGTACCCGGTAAGTTAAACAGAACTTCTGCGACTGATGGGACCCTTTAGTATGAGTCTCAGCAAGATAGCTACTGGGACTTATCCAGAATGAGACATTTTATTATATGCAATGATGGATTTTTACAGAAAAGGCTGGATGCAATTAATACAGACAAAGCAGTTGAGTTTGTAATGAAATGCCAGAATGTGGATGGAGGGTTTGGAACAAGACCAGGGTCTGAGAGCCATGCTGGACAAATATACTGCTGTGTAGGTCTCCTCTCAATCACAGGTAGGTTTTTATTCATCTGCCACTTTTCTATTTTTAGTCAACATAGAAAACTACTGTATTTTTTAAACCAATAATTTGAAGTACTTTACAGTTTTGCTGTGAGGACTATTCTGATACTTAAAAACCGATTTCAATGATTTAAAAGGTCTTTATTCAAATTTTTCTAATTAATCATAACAAAACGTGAAGGATTTTTAAATGCTATAATGGCAGCTTTCATGTTGAGGTATTTCTGGAAAAAATTCCTGGGGTGTTTAATGCAATTAGGTGTTAGTGTTTCCTATCACCTGTAAGGGCAAAATATTTGGGCACATTTCCTTAAATCTAATGCCTCTGATTGTCTAGCACCTACACATAGGTAGCTGAGAGTTAGGGTGTTGCTGTGGGTTGCATAGTAGGAAAGGTCAGTTTAGGCCTAGAACCTCCATAACTCTGTCCGCAATAACTGGAAACCTCATAAGACGAAGGTCTCTATTAGTAGATAATATTTTGCTCTAAGTACCTCTTGATATGGTGTTCAATTCACAACAAAGATATGATTTGTATTTAGAGTTATTTTTGTATACAGTACCTTTGTTAACGTGTTCGCCTATTTTTCGGGGCTGATGCCAACCCACTTCATGAAAGTGGGAAACAAGGTGGTGATGAATATGGATATGCAATGCTGTATTATCATTTGTGAGGTTGAAAATATGAATACAGTATAGTATATGGATATAATATACTGTACTGTATATGTACTGAATATCAAGTAAAATATTTTTATTTATGTGAGGTCACAGGAGATTGTTTTTGTATACAAATTAAATAAATTTTGCCTTATTTTTTGAGGTTTTACTGGCAATTCATTCTAGGTAAGCATCATGGAGTATTCCTTTTTCTACTCTCAGATACTTGTAATATTAGATGGTATGGATGATGTGGACGTTGATGGTGTAGTAAGGTTCATCGTGGGTCTGCAGAACGAAGATGGGTCGTTCTCTGGTGACCAGTGGGGGGAAGAAGACACCAGATTTTCCTTTTGTGCCGTTGCATGTCTGGCTTTACTTGTAAGTAATTGTTTACCAGTTCTTGTTTATGATTGACTGCACTCATTACTGACAACATATTAATAGTAATAATAAATACCTGAATATTAGTCGCTGTGCAGGTATTTTTATAATGCAAGCCTGTTTGCTGTGATCAGTATTTTGAAAATGTAAGTCTATTTCCTATATAACATTTATATAATGTCAGCCTACTATTCTGAGGGAGGCCCCCTTGTGGTTCCCTGAAGCTACTGTCTCTGATAGTGTGCCATACTACTAGGTCCCATCAAGTCATGAAGTTCAATGCATTAAATATGTTTAATGCATGTATAGTACTTACAACATGGTAGAAGATTTGCTGTGCTAGGCTGACCCGAGTCATGGTTATGCAATTGTCACACTCGCCACGCCTGCTTTTAGCTGTTCCAAATGGTGCTTGAAATGTAGATTGTTATACAGTATATATATAACATGTATACAGCATAATAATAGAAAAAGTATGTTTTATTGTTCAAAGAATATAAGTACCTATCAGTGACCCAAATGTTTTTGAGCATAGATGTTTTGTACAATTTATTATAGATACTTCTCAAATTACACAATATTACATAATATAACTGCAAAAAAAAAAACAGTAAAAAAAAGTCACCGACACTGAAATAAATCGGTATAAATACTTTTGCGGCAACTCCCGCTGCTCACCTGGCTTGGGCGACCCTTGCACAGCATCTCGTCCATCAGCGATCACGAATCGGTGACGTTATCGTAATTTTTCCTCTCTCCACCACAGCCAAGGTAAGCTACATAAACCTTCTTATTTTTAGTTTCCTGTCATGAGGGAACACATGATTAGTGGGCACCTTTCCCCAGGGTTCCGTTCCATGTGTCTTTGGACTCGTCATGATTATCCTTCCAAAAGTTTCTATCTTCTTGGGGCCTTCCTGTATTTTTTTTGTGGTGGTTGCCACCACCAGGCAACCAGGGCCAAGTTGTCTGGTAGTGGCAGTCGGCAGTAATTGGTTTCAAACTAGAGTGAATCCCTTGTCGTGTGTGAATCATTTGCGGAGTCGTTTGTCAATTTCAAGGCTTCTGTGATTCCTGCAGCTGTCTATAATGCTTCACCGATTTTCTGGAGGCTTTTTCCGGTGGCAGATTGTTACTCATTCCCTGTGAGGGAACCAGGTTCTGGCTCTGGTACCCGGTAAGTTAAACAGAACTTCTGCGACTGATGGGACCCTTTAGTATGAGTCTCAGCAAGATAGCTACTGGGACTTATCCAGAATGAGACATTTTATGCAATGATGTATTTTTACAGAAAAGGCTGGATGCAATTAATACAGACAAAGCAGTTGAGTTTGTAATGAAATGCCAGAATGTGGATGGAGGGTTTGGAACAAGACCAGGGTCTGAGAGCCATGCTGGACAAATATACTGCTGTGTAGGTCTCCTCTCAATCACAGGTAGGCTTTTATTCATCTGCCGCTTTTCTATTTTTATTCAACATAGAAAACTACTGTATATTTTAAACCAATAATTTGAAGTACTTTACAGTTTTGCTATGAGGACTATTCCGATACAGTACTTAAAAACAGATTTCAGTGATAGAAAAATTAGAATAAAGACCTTTTAAAATTAATCATAACAAAATGTGAAGGATTTTGAAATGCTATAATGGCAGCTTTCATGTTGAGGTATTTCTGGAAAAAATTCCTGGGGTGTTTAATGCAATTAGGTGTTAGTGTTTCCTATCACCTGTAAGGGCAAAATATTTGGGCACATTTCCTTAAATCTAATGCCTCTGATTGTCTAGCACCTACACATAGGTAGCTGAGAGTTATGGTGCTGCTGGGGGGGTTGCATAGTAGGGCAGGTCAGTTTAGGCCTAGAACCTCCATAACTCTGTCCGCAATAACTGGAAACCTCATAAGACGAAGGTCTCATTAGTAGATAATATTTTGCTCTAAGTACCTCTTGATATGGTGTTCAATTCACAACAAAGATATGATTTGTATTTAGAGTCAATTACTGTATGTTGAAACTAAATTTATAACCATTTTGCTAAAAATGTATATTTATATCAAGCTTGCATATCACTTATATTTTATTGTTCTTGAAGGTCAGTTACACAGAGTGAACGGAGACCTCCTTGGTTGGTGGCTGTGTGAGCGGCAATTACCGTCAGGGGGCTGAATGGCCGACCAGAGAAGTTGCCAGATGTATGCTATTCTTGGTGGGTGTTAGCTTCCCTTAAAATGCTTGACAGACTTCATTGGATTAATGCCGACAAAATGCGCCTTTTCATAATGGCAACGCAGGTATAATAATTATATTCTAGTTATGTAATTATATGTTTTTGTATCAAGCATGCCATATCTGTCACTGACAGGAAAAGTGACAGCCCAGAGATAAAAGTTAGCAATATAGTAATAATAAGTCATAAATATTAAATAAATTGCACATCCCCATTCATTATATCATTCACACTACTGTATATATATACTGTAATATACTGGATAAACAAGGACCACCACACTCCAACAGTCATCCACAGCAGCACCCACTTCTTCATAAGACCAGTACATGCATCTTATGAGTTGACATACTTTATTATTAAAATTTGAAAAGCTTGCCTAAGTAGTACTGTAATTGCATTTACCGTGTCTCTGCAGGATCCTGAGACGGGAGGCTTTACTGATCGACCAGGGGATATGGTGGACCTATATCATACTCTCTTTGGACTTGCTGGCCTCTCATTACTTGGAGAAACTGGACTTAAAGAAATTAATCCCGTGTTTTGCATGCCCCAGTATGTGCTGGATCGTATCTCTGTGTCTGTTCAGATGATGTCCACATGATTATATAGATATAAAAAAAAATTATATTTACATGATTTAAAATATGTAGAAATTTTATATTGAACAATTCTTTATTGGATTTACTAAAGGTATCAAATACTGTACTGCATTAACAAATAACATTGATTGTTGTACATTCCATTTGTTTTGCTGATATTATAGCATGTTTTGAATACAGTGGCACCTCGACTTACGATAATTTCGAGTTGCGATATAAATTTTATCGGAAAATGCAACTCGACTTAGTTGACGACACTATCATAATGATATTTGTTGATACACGTTCGGGTCAACTGAGTGCATGTTTCCCGGTTGCGCGGGCCGACCCGTCTCAGTTTACTAGAGCTGCCCACTTAGTGACGATTACGCTTATAAGAAATTCTATTTTTATTTTTTTTTTTATTTTTTGTTTTTTGAACATAAAACTGATTATTATATATCATGCCATGGGTCCCAAGAAAGTCAGTGGTAAGGTTCAACATATGAAAAAACATGTGAGGATGTCCATAGAGGTAGTACAGAATATCCCTGCCTTAAAAATTAAGAAAATGTGTGCAGCATGGGAAGAACTGTAAACTTTTGCTGGAATAACTCGCCCAAATCAAGCTGCAGTAAGTCGTTGCCTTAACCTTTTCAATGACACTGTGATGCATCTCTACAGACAAATGTTAAAATGAAGGGAAAACGAGTGTCACTAGACAAATTTTTAGTGAGACAAACTAGCAGTGAACCACAACCAGGTCCTAGTGGTATGAAGGCAAAACGTGCCAGTGTGTGTACCCCAGTGAAATCATTACTGCCTGATGTTATAATGGAAGGGGACTCCCCTTCCAAACAGTAACACCTCTCCTCCTCCCTGTCTTCCATATGCCAACAAGGGTCATCAGTAAAGGTAAGCAATAACTTGTACATACTTTTGTAATGAAGATTTGAGTGAATTAGGTATAAAATTAACTTTGAAGTTAATTTTTGGGGGAGTCGGGAACGGATTAATTCATTTCCCTTTATTTCTTATGGGAAAAATCGTTTTGACTTACAATACATCTCTGGAAACAGATTACTATCGTAAATCGAGGCCCCACTGTATTGGAAATGACTGACTTTGCTGTAAGGACATTTCAGAGATTCACCGCATACAAATTTCTACGTGCTCTTGCAAAATGAAACCAGAAGAGAAAATAAATTAACAGTCCCAAAGTACATAGGTCTAACATAGCACACATAATAATGAAAGATGTGCATACATTATATTCATTCTACACATGTTAATTATCTACATGACAACCACTATGTTAAGTGGTCTTTTTTTTTTTTTTTTTTTTTTTTTTTTTTTTTAATTCACACTATATTTGTATTGGCAAACCATGCACCTGTGATAATCAAACTGGAATTGGTGTACTGGAGCTTGGACTACAAACATTAGAAATCATAATTTCCATATATCCAGATGTATATTTTTGTAGCACGTACCACACACTAGACATGGCTCTCGGAATAGTCCAGCAGCTTTATTTGTGGTACCTTATAATAATTAACGGATTCTTAGTCATTACCGACAAATAAGCCAACCTAAATGTTAGTTAAAATTAATTTAGCCCACCTTTTATGGTTAGCACGGTGTTAAGAAAACTGTGTGTAGAGTGGCACCTCCAAAATCCAACTCATATTGTTCTGGTTTTCAGAAATTTGCCATTTTCTTTTTGCCAATCAAATTTAATGGATTTTTCTTATAGGAAGCAATACATATTTACATATAAGTAATACAGTATAATGATTGTGTGAGTATAAGTAAATTCTGTGAGAATAAGTAATAAATATTGCATGCCCCCAAAACCATGAAACATTAATTTATTTACTTACCTTTCTTTAACACTGGCTGATGTTGATACCCCAGAGGCAGCAAAATGCAGTTACAGTACTATGTCATGATGTCTGTTAAACTAGTCTTGAAGTCCGCAGTGCAGATGGTTACTGCCACTCTCTCGGCTACAGACTGTAACTGTGCACCACCAACAGCCAGCCCCAGGCTACAGTGCTACTTAAATCACTGATAAACAGCCCATCATCTAAATCCTCATTCTTAGGAGGTTTCAATGTTGTTATTTTGTCACTTCTCTTTCCACACTGGTCTCCATTTTAATCACAAACTACAGTATATAATCTTTCCTATTATGTCGGAAACAGCAAATAAGTACAGTACAACTACAGTGTTGCCTCATGCCTTTGAAAAGCCAGTGAAAAATGGTCCAATAATAAGAAATTAGCCTACACTCACCCGAGGAAAACTTTGTCAGTACGTACACGTCCCCTAACAGTAGGAAATTATTAAATTTTTATGAGGGAAATTCCGGAGTTGATTCACTCTTTAAAGGGATTTGTTATTGGAAGATCTGGATTTGGGAAGGGGCACTGTATATATAGGGTACAGTATCTCACTCCAAGAAACAAAGTACTGTACCGTAATTGTTAAGAAAGCACCAAGTCAGTGTGGCTATACAGTATATCACTTACATTGTGAACCAGCAACTACATTGGTCTAATCTGCAATGGAACTCTGGCAGCTTTCATTTAAGTATTTGTTTTGGCCACCATGTTATCACCAAAACTTTTAATTTTATCAGTAATTAACACAAATATTTTATTGTATTTTATTCTTTCAATTTTATGATTGTATATAACTTTGAATAAAATTACCAAAGATAAAAATGCATTGAATCACCTTTCTCTATATTACAATTTTTTTTTAATTTAAAGTATATTTTAGTTGCATACTAAACTAGTAAATTTCTTAAGAAACATCATATCACTGATGTGGCAGAATATTATGACGAGACAGTTTGGCACATTTGTGAATACATCGGCCAGTTTAATCCAAGGACCCAAATTTGATTCCCACTCTTGAGACAGTGTTGTTTAGAATTCAGTTTATGCTAAATTTCCAGAATACAGTACAGTACTGTGCTAGTCTACCACCAGCACAGTGGTAGTAATTATGGTAGCATAATTACCAACCAGTTGTAAATGACCGAAATGATTTGCAAATATACAATCGTATGAAGATGTATTTTCCTGTTGCAGTCTGTGTAGGAAAACTATACACATGAATGGGATTATTCATAATTAGGACTCTCCTGAATATCTTAGTTTTCACATGTGCAATTTTTTGTACTAGTTTTCAAATTTTCAGAGTTTGAGATATCTGGAAAAAGTTAAATGTATTGGCTTGAAATATACTTGACTTATGTATGCCAAGATGAATTGTATTGTTGGACCATGTATCCCTGTAGCCATGTTGCTTTTTGATTGCCATCTCATGCCTAATATTGTCATTTTTTATCGTTCAGCATTGGTGGAGCCGCTTTTTCTAGCATTTGACATCGATAGTACTGTGGGTGTTTTGCAAGTTGTCTTGAGCGCTGTTTCATCTTTGGCCTGCTCCTGAGCTGTCTTGGCCACTTGACAGAGTCCTAGATTTTTCTCCTCCCCCTCGGTTCATATCTGCCCCTTCAGTCCATGACACCTTTTTTAGTTTTTGTTGTTAGCAGTTGCCTCCAGTTGTCAGGTTGGTGAGCTTCATGCACTTCTGTGGAGATGGCAGTTCTGCTCCTTGGCTCTGGTGGGGATTTTCTTTCTTTGTAGCCGTCTCCTCCTTTTCTGGTGAAGAACAAGTCGGCAGGCTTCCAGAGGCGTGCCTTTAGTTATTGATGGTTAGTTGATTTGGCGGTCTTTTCTAATGTCTTGGGAGGATGTTGAAGCTCGGGGGTTTTTGCCATTCAAACAGGGTCATGGTGGACAGTTATTTAATAATCCTTGTCGGTCCTGTTGCCCTTTGCCATTTTTGCCTCGGGCCAGGACAAAAAAAATATTGCTTCTATTGGAAAACATCCTAGGGTGTAATTAGTACTCAAGACAATGGGAGACTATCCACTTGCATTAAAGGAGGTGCATATAAGCTCTCAATAGCTATACTTAAGAATTCTAAGACAGTTCTCAAATCTGCCATGAAGAGGCTACATGGTCCAACATAACAAATCTTCCTTGCAGAATATTTCATGCCAATACACAGAAATTTTTTGTAATACAGTATCTTAGGCACCTTAATTTAAATTTTAAACTAATACAAAACATTTCACATATGAAACTTAAGATATCCCTTCAGAGCAGTCCTAATTAGGAATAATCCCATTCATGGGTCTGGATTTCCTACCCAGACTGAGACAGGAAGATATATATTCATATGATTGTATATTTGCAAAGCATTCAAGTCATTTACAACAGGTTGGTAGACCAGCACAGTACTGTATTGTACTCTGGAAACTTAGCATAAACCACATTCTATACAACACTGCCTCAATTGGGAATGAAATGCCAGTACCGGTAATTTATTATTTTAATTCATTGTGTAGGGGAAAATGGCAGCCAGTTTATACATGAAGTACATGTTAGGCTTACATCGAGATCCCCACTGAGGGTCTAATTACTGACCCTCCCCAGGATGCAACCCCCACAAGAAACTGACTAACTTCTGGGTACCAATTTACTGCTAGGTGGACAGTGGCATTAGGTGCTAGGAAACAACCATTTCTGTCCTGACCAGGATTGAAACCTGGAATTCTTGATTGAGAGCCAAGAACAAACCCGCATGTACTACTTGGGACCCTGGTTGGGCCTTTGGAGTACTGTACCAGAATGATACCACTCCACAACCATTACAACTCGCTGAACAATCCTTAAATAATTATAGTTATGGCTTATTAGAACTTCAGGAATTTTCTGACTGGGATCGGTCCCAATTAGTTATGATAATCAGGCATCTACTGTACAACATTACTTCATGTAGTTCATCATCAAGCATCAGTAGGTTATATAGTAGAGGCAATCCCCTTGCTACGAACAAGTCATGTTCTGAGAATGTGTTTGTAAAGCATTTGTTTGGAACGTGAAGCAAGATTTTTTATAGGCACAATGCTATAAATGGGAGATTCGTACCTGGACCACCAAAAATCCTCACAAAACCAATATTTTTGGGACATGTATGTAAACAACACAGCATATTATTTACCTTGAATGGAGTTATCCTACTAGTCAAAGTCACCTGGTTCTGAGGAGTCGAGAGAGATCTAGTTGCTGGAGATGGCAGAAGATGGCAATGTGTCGGCGGCAGAGGAAGACAGTTTTCTGGGCTATGTTTGATGTGGGAGATGATGGGTTGGTGACAAACACCTTTGGGTCATCTTTAGCATCACCAGCTGCTGGAGAAGTTGATGGTTTTGGATCAGACTTTTTCTTAAAGATTGTTGGTAATTCATAGCAACTTTTTGGGAGGGAATTGCTGGGCTGGAGACTGTCAGGAAATATTTTCTCAAAGTACTTTACATACCTATCTTCTTTTCCAGGTAAATTTGCTTGTAGGGTGCAAGGTTAAATATCATTTTTGAGATATTTTGATATCTTAGCATCACTGTCTTGCTCTTCCAAAATTGCCAAAGAATCATCCATGTTATCACCAAAACTTTTAATTTTATCAGTAATTAACACACATATTTTATTGTATTTTATTCTTTCAATTTTATGATTGTATATAACTTTGAATAAAATTACCAAAGATAAAATGCATTGAATCACCTTTCTCATATTACAATTTTTTTTAATTTAAAGTATATTTTAGTTGCATACTAAACTAGTAAATTGCTTAAGAAACATCATATCACTGATGTGGCAGAATATTATGACGAGACAGTTTGGCACATTTGTGAATACATCGGCCAGTTTAATCCAAGGACCCAAATTTGATTCCCACTCTTGAGACAGTGTTGCTTAGAATTCAGTTTATGCTAAATTTCCAGAATAATAATAATAATAATAATTTTTATTTAGGTAAGGTACATACATAAAGAGATTTTACAAAGTTTGTTGGCTTTATAGATAGAGCTAGTACATACAATGCCTAAAGCCACTATTACGCAAAGCGTTTCGGGCAGGAAATACAGTACAGTACTGTGCTAGTCTACCACCAGCACAGTGGTAGTAATTATGGTAGCATAATTACCAACCAGTTGTAAATGACCGAAATGATTTGCAAATATACAATCGTATGAAGATGTATTTTCCTGTTTCAGTCTGTGTAGGAAAACTAAACACATGAATGGGATTATTCATAATTAGGACTCTCCTGAATATCTTAGTTTTCACATGGCAATGTGTTGGCGGCAGAGGAAGACAGTTTTCTGGACTACATTTGATGTGGGAGATGATGGGTTGGTGACAAACACCTTTGGGTCATCTTTAGCATCACCAGCTGCTGGAGAAGTTGATGGTTTTGGATCAGACTTTTTCTTAAAGATTGTTAGTAATTCATAGCAACTTTTTGGGAGGGAATTGCTGAGCTGGAGACTGTCAGGAAATATTTTCTCAACGTACTTTACATACCTATCTTCATTTCCAGGTAAATTTGCTTGTAGAGTGCAAGGTTAAATATCATTTTTGAGATATTTTGATATCTCGGCATCACTGTCTTGCTCTTCCAAAATTGCCAAAGAATCATCTACCAGCTTAAATGCCTCTGCTAGCTTCATCTCATAAGATAATGGGTTGCATTTTCCTTGGTACTGGTGCATCAACACACTTCCTCTTCCAGTCAGCCATTGTTAATAGTATTTTCTTTGGTAGTCCGAAGAAAGCACAGCGTGTCTAGTCTGGGCACGAGGAAATGTTGACTGAGGCAGCGTCAGTCTCCACAGATACCCGTCACATCATACACTTGATGGTTCGCCAACGTGCTTTAAAACCTACCTAATCTAATCCAACCAAACTTTATCATATGCAAACAAACTTAATCTAACCCAAATGAGCATAACACAGTATAATTTAAACCAACACATCCTAACCAAATGATACACACAGTTTTGACGGTTGGAAAATACACTGTTGAAAAGTCTTGTGTACGATTTGACAATCCAATACCGTAACCCCATCTTTCCTAGAGGGCCATTTGGACATTTGTACAATACTCCACCCCGTGGCTGCCACATAATACTTGGGACACTTTTGCAAGTTTTTGCATGGTCATTTTATGCATGAAGAGAGGACGGGCACTTGAGAGAATGTTCGCATCGACAAATGTTCGTATAACGGGGATAGCCTGTACAGTAAATCCAATATTACTTAACATGACTTTATTCATTATACAGTTAATTTTATATACATCTTGCATTGCTTGGTCATAACTCACGATTCCTTTTGGGATTTTTGTGCTTCTGTTCTTCGATTGCGCCAGGCTTCAATAAATCCCCTGGGGTGGATGGGCAGTAATCCAGATAGACCTGTGAATCAATATACAGTACTGTGCTTCGTATTCAACCTCAGATAAAATAAGCATAATATGGATTAGATTAAATATTATTTAATTCCTAAATGTACAGTACTGTACAAACATTTTAAATTTACAATTGTTATATGTAACATGGCATAAAATACAACAATCTAATATTTTATGCATAAAAAGCCTTACAGTATTGTACGTCATTTCATATGGCTTAACTACATTAATTAACATTAATACCATACCTAGCAGCATTGCACAGCTATCGGCTACATGAGCACCTTGACCAATCCAATGACATGTTCGCTCTAAGTTGATAGAGCATAACTTCTCACCACGTTCATTGACAAGAGGGTCAAAAGTTCCAAGTTGCTCAATTACGTGACCCTGTCTTTCTACTTTTTTCTGAGGAGAAAAATTCTATACTTGTATATGACATATAACTTAAAAGATTATACAAAATAATTCTACCTGGAAAGGATAAAAATACATTACTCTATTAAATAACCTGAATTATTTTAAACCTTGACTGTTATACAGTGGAGTCAATCTTCAATAGTAATTTGAGGCTAGACCACATCCAATGGATTGGTTTGTTTTTTCAACAAAATTTGCAATTTTTTTTTTATTTTGGAAACAAATTTTTTTTCAACAAATTTTGCCAGATACATTTTAACAGGGGTCTGGGAGCTGAGTGGACAGCGCGCGGGACTCGTAATCCTGTGGCCAGGGTTCGATTCCTGGACTAGTCAAAGACAAATAGGCACTTTCTTTCATCCTAATGCACCTGTTACCTAGCAGTAAATAGGAAGTTAGACAGCTGTTGTGTGCTACTTACTGGGGGAGGGGGGTGAAAAAAAAAGTAGTTAGTGGTTAGTAACAGTTGATTGATTGACAGTTGAGAGGCGGGCCGAAAGAGCAAAGCTCAACCCCCGCAAAAAACTTGGTGAATACAAGTTGGCCAATTTTTTATCGACAATAGTTATCTTGAGGTTATCTTGAGATGATTCGGGGCTTTAGTGTCCCCGCGGCCCGGTCCTCGACCAGGCCTCCACCCCCAGGAAGCAGCCCGTGACAGCTGACTAACTCTCAGGTACCTATTTACTGCTAGGTACCAGGGGCATTCAGGGTGAAAGAAACTTTGCCCATTTGTTTCTGCCTCGTGCAGGAATCGAACCCGCGCCACAGAATTACGAGTCCTGCGCGCTATCCACCAGGCTACGAGGCCTACCCAATAGTGCCACCCACCTTTACCCAGTATCTTTCATACTCTGTAGCATCAAATGAAAATGTACCTGCATACTCTAACAATATAAAAATTAGATTATTTTGGTTATTTCATAAATAAAGAATAAATAACTCCCTATGAACCATCAAAGTCTTGCACATTCTTTGTAATATACAGCTCCCTTGTACTGCTTTCATGATGAAACTTTACTAAAAGTTAATACAGTATTTGGAAAAGAGTCAGTATAAATGGGGCAAAATCAGAGTAGGGAACAGGCCCAGTGACCTTTATTGTTCACCATATATAGCATATGGCTTTCTAGGAGTGAAAAGCAATTTGATGACACTATAATATGGCGAGTAATAAAATTACACACACAAATATTGTGGGAGGCCCTATGCAAATTTTCAAAATTAACTAAATTGTCAGATGCAGCTCAATGCTAACAAACACACAATCCTTAAAGGGCAGCTATCTTCAAAGATGACACTGTCTGTTCAAATGTTTATCCCTATGAATAAAATTCATCCCACTATGAGTAATACAGCACAGCTTTACAAACAGTATTTGTAAAAATCTTTAAACTTTAGTTTAATATTTGGTGTTAAGGAAAAAGTATCTCCCATCCCAGCCAATCATGAAATCTTCCTCACAACTATGAATGCAAGAATATAATTGTTAAAACTAAATCCAGGTTCTTACATCCATAACAACAATGTGGAAAAAGGGCCGGTTTGCGCACCCATGCCTGGCGAATCTTATAACCTTCGCGGTTTGATAAGTGGCCCGGGCCCCCCCTGCTGCAGGAAACAACATGGCTCACTGCTGGTAAGAAAGACAATTTAATTTAAGACAAGTAATGCTGTAAGAAAGGGCCTATTATCAGATTTTTCATCAAGAACCAACCAATATGACTACAGTCCAATGGATCCTTGATTTAATGGACATTTGATTTTGCAGAAACACTCAAACTTGTATTTTATGGAACAGGGAGCCCAGAAATCAAGACCAGGTAAATCAGGGTGCCCGCCTTAATTTACCTGATCGACTTGGATTATACCCCACACTTCTCACTTCTTATATATAACATTAATAATTTTGTAACTAGCGTCAAAATTTTTTACTTGCTTAGCTAAACGAACTAGAGGGTTCAATTCCTGAACCGATTATGTGCCTCTGTAATCCTTTACACCACCGCCCATGGGATGGGTATGGGGTGCATAATAAAGAAATTGAAATCACTTCAAAATATTTACTACCAGTATTCACCTTATACCCTCAGTAGCTAATATTATATGCTTTTTCTGGGCTTTTCCTCAGTAGTGCCCAATATACTAAGCTCTGGTTGAATTTATCTGACTATTCCAAATTAAATGTTTATTCAGGTAAAGTACATACATAAAAGGTGTGATACAAATATTAATGAATTTATAGATAAGAGCTAGTACATACAGTTGATTGATTGACAGTTGAGAGGCGGGCCGAAAGAGCAAAGCTCAACCCCCGCAAAAAACTTGGTGAATACAAGTTGGCCAATTTTTTATCGACAATAGTGCCACCCAACTTTACCCAGTATCTTTCATACTCTGTAGCATCACATGAAAATGTACCTGCATACTCTAACAACATAAAAATTAGATTATTTTGGTTATTTCATAAATAAAGAATAAATAACTCCCTATGAACCATCAAAGTCTTGCACATTCTTTGTAATATATAGCTCCCTTGTACTGCTTTCATGATGAAACTTTACTAAAAGATAATACAGTATTACGAAAAGAGTCAGTATAAATGGGGCAAAATCAGAGTAGGGAACAGGCCCAGTGACCTTTATTGTTCACCATATATAGCATATGGCTTTCTAGGAGTGAAAAGCAATTTGATGACTATAATATGGCAAGTAATAAAATTACACACACACAAATATTGTGGGAGGCCCTATGCAAATTTTCAAAATTAACTAAATTATCAGATGCAGCTCAATGCTAACAAACACACAATCCTTAAAGGGCAGCTATCTTCAAAGATGACACTGTCTGTTCAAATGTTTATCCCTATGAATAAAATTCATCCCACTATGAGTAATACAGCACAGCTTTACAAACAGTATTTGTAAAAACCTTTAAACTTTAGTTTAATATTTGGTGTTAAGGAAAAAGTATCTCCCATCCCAACCAATCATGAAATCTTCCTCACAACTATGAATGCAAGAATATAATTGTTAAAACTAAATCCAGGTTCTTACATCCATAACAACAATGTGGAAAAAGGGCCGGTTTGCGCACCCATGCCTGGCGAATCTTATAACCTTCGCGGTTTGATAAGTGGCCCGGGCCCCCCCTGCTGCAGGAAACAACATGGCTCACTGCTGGTAAGAAAGACAATTTAATTTAAGACAAGTAATGCTGTAAGAAAGGGCCTATTATCAGATTTTTCATCAAGAACCAACCAATATGACTACAGTCCAATGGATCCTTGATTTAATGGACATTTGATTTTGCAGAAACACTCAAACTTGTATTTTATGGAACAGGGAGCCCAGAAATCAAGACCAGGTAAATCAAGGTGCCCGCCTCAATTTACCTGATCGACTTGGATTATACCCCACACTTCTCACTTCTTATATATAACATTAATAATTTTGTAACTAGCGTCAAAATTTTTTACTTGCTTAGCTAAACGAACTAGAGGGTTCAATTCCTGAACCGATTATGTGCCTCTGTAATCCTTTACACCACCGCCCATGGGATGGGTATGGGGTGCATAATAAAGAAATTGAAATCACTTCAAAATATTTACTACCAGTATTCACCTTATACCCTCAGTAGCTAATATTATATGCTTTTTCTGGGCTTTTTCCTCAGTAGTGCCCAATATACTAAGCTCTGGTTGAATTTATCTGACTATTCCAAATTTAAATGTTTATTCAGGTAAAGTACATACATAAAAGGTGTGATACAAATATTAATGAATTTATAGATAAGAGCTAGTACATACAATGCCTAAAGCCACTATTACGCAAAGCTTTTCGGGCAGGAAAAACACTTAAAGACTAAAGTTTAATACTAATTGAGATTAAAGTATAAAATGTGTTGAGAAAATATAAAAATAAAAAAGGGGGGAACATGACAGAAAAACAGCAAAAAATACAATTTGGTCTTTGTGTTTCAATTGCCAATTCCAACTTGGTCAATTCCAAGTTGTGTTTCATTGCCTACTGGGGATACTGGCACCTTGCTTCCTCTATGATGATAACACATAAGAATCGCAACACTGACATTCACCTGGAGACCAAGCAACACCGGTACAACCACCAGTAGAGCCACAGGCAACACAGGCAGCAACACAAGCAGGCCTACAAGCAACACTCTCAGGCCTCAGAGCGTGTTTACGTCGGCAGCGTTCACAAGCGCTGCATACAAATAAGAGTAAATTAAATTATTGCTCATAATTAATTCTTTAGGTGTCATCTCAACGCAAATATTATAATTCACTTGTATTAACTATAAATAATCTTGTTCACAAGATTAACTTTATATCGCTAGTTATTTATTTAGCTACAAATGGCAACACTTCCATAGAATTACCCAAAGCCTGATAGTACTCACCTAGTTGTGCTCAGCTGTGGCCCGGCCCGTCTAATTACCACAAGCTACACAAGCTTCACAAAGCTTCCTGGCAATACGTTAGTAATGAATAAATATGATATATTTACTCATTATAATGTTGGTGCTGAATGTACAACACGAAAAAACATAATTTTAATCTGAAAAAGTATCTTTTTATAAAGAAATTAGACGAAAATAAAGAGCTGGTGACGCCAAATCAAGTCGACGATCCAAGCGTCGGTTAGGTTAGGTTAGGTCAACCTAACCTATCATATTTAGCCATTACTAACGTATTGCCAGGAAGCTTTGTGAAGCTTGTGTAGCTTGTGATAGCTTGCGGTAATTAGACAGACCCGTCGCACCTCTCTGTTCAAATTGTTGCATATTTAATTGACGATATTGAATAGTAAATGCGTATTTATAATATTATCTAGTATAAATAGCCACAAAACGTTAACGTCTGAGGGTATTTAAAAAAAAAAAACATGTCTGGAATTTAAATCAACTCCAAAGGACTATAGTATGCTATAGTTGTTCGTTGGTATGCGTTCGCTACTTGAACTACCCATGTCTTGTTCCCTCATAGATCACTGAACCCTACACGCTCTCTGTTATATTGCTTAATTAAGAGAGATTCACAAGTAAAGCTTATATTTGTATATGTTATCAGAAAGGCAGAAATAAAATAGTTTTTGTAAATCCATCACAGAGATTATACCTTATTAGAGAGAAAATATATTCATATTTTAAAAGAGGAAGCCGGTCGGACAGCACACTGGACTTGTGATCCTTGTGGACTTGTGACGCGAAAAGAGGTCCCGGGCCCTGGCGAGAAACAATGGGCAGAATTTCTTTCACCCTATGCCCCTGTTACCTAGCAGTAAAATAGGTACCTGGGTGTTAGTCAGCTGTCACGGGCTGCTTCCTGGGGGCGGAGACCTGGTCGAGGACCGGGCCGCAGGGACACTAAAGCCCCGAAATCATCTCAAGATAACCTCAAGATAGGGTTTCTTGGCCGACGCTCTCCCTAGTGATGAGAACTACCTTCCGAAGATCAATGTTAATTTTATTTAGATACTGTAATAAACAAAGTTTTTTATGCCATCAAAAACACAGAAATATTAGCTACAATTGAAATACTTGGCATAAATATACCTGAAGTGAAAGCGAAGATATATGCATTTTTATAGTTACTTTAAGGCTAGCTCTAGTAGTGTGAAGCCCTTCACACCTGCCAATCAATTGTTATTAATCCAGTCCATCCTCTTGTTTTGGTAGTACTTATAGTAACGATGACGACCATAGTACATTACATATTCTGACGTACAACGAAATTAGAACATAGAAATCTCAACTACTGTATTGAGTTGGACAAACCGGAAAACTATTTTTTATTTGTGTTATTTTGACATACTAACTGAACCTAACATAATATAGTACATGTGTGTGCTATACTAGGCCTAGGAATATTTAAGTTTGTGTTTAAGCTTCATTTACAGTCAGTATACTACTATCTAAAAGAACTAAGAATGTACGAATTCTGACAATTGACGATCGTCACAACAGATTCTATCTAAACAGGAGGATTTAGATAACACCTATTGTGACGATTGTCAATAGTCACGAATTCGTACGTGCAGTATTTAGCTTTTAGATAGTAGTATACTGACTAGCAAGTTATTCTTTACAAAAATTTGTTAATTTTATGTTGTGTATACGGTAGTTGTAAATGTGTTTTACAATCCTAGTACTTCTGCAGTCATCACACGAGTTACCTAGACACCACTTTATTTAGGTAAAATAAGTTATGGATCATAACCATCACCTGTAGAGCAAATAATTATCCAAAAAAAAAAACCTCTTAAGCAGGAGTGGGATGGAACAAAACTAAGAATTAGTTTCAGGTGACCAAGATACGATTAAACAAGTTATTTTCATATTGCTCAGTGTATAGTAGGTTCATTTAACAATTTAGTCAACCGTATACTGTACGTACCTCCAAGTTGTACATTACTCAAAACTTTATTATATACAATATTTACTAACACTTTATTAGTTTAAAGCTATTGTGTCTGGTATAACATGATCACAATAATAAAGGTTAAAGATAGTAATCAGAAAGGTAAATTTTTAATTACTGATGTATTCCCTTAGCACTTGTAATACAAATATAAAAAACTTAAGTTTCAAAAACATCTGTCATGTCACATGACTATTAACTAAATAAACACATTTACCAGCAAGTTACATACTATTATTTACAAATTATTTTGTAAGTTTTGCAGGCAGTACAGTGAGGTGAATTTACCTTTTCTTCAGTAGTAAAATAAATAATTTGTAACATTATATTTTCACTTTTGATTTTTTAAACAACATATATCCTGAGATATAAACCGGGTGTCTTCGCTTAATAACGTGTGCACACAGGTTTGATGCTGCTAATATTAACAATTGTCAAAAGAGCTCTTGGAAATCATTCAAGTTTTAATCTTAATGCATTTTTGTTGAATAACAAAATGTAAATGTTCTAAATCAAACAAAATAAGAATTGAATTTATAATAAAAGCATTATAGGAGTGCAAAGTATGTTTATTAATGAATAATTAACCAGATAATGTCATGTTGTAATGTTTAAAACTATACTTGTGCATGCCACAACACACTAAGACAAAACTGAAGAAATCAAATAGTAAATCAAATTTGATACACATTATTTCAGTCTACTCCAGATTTCTCCCTAAAACACACATACTGAGAAATCTGACCCACACCAGCACTACTGCAGAGGCCGAGTGGCAGCCTTTCTCCAAATTATGTTAAGTTGCTTTGGCTATAGTCGCATGTGCTACTACTTGACTTCAATATATCTTTAATCTGACACTGTCCTTCCAGGGACTTTCTTTGCCATCTTTCTCATTTTCTTTATCATCTTCGATCATGCTACATTTTCACAGTTTTCCATAAATCATAAACTATGGTGGCACAGCTCAACCCTTTTCACAAACACCAGTGTTATACAGTGCACAATAACTAAACCACCTTATAGATCTCCTCTTCAATCTTTTAACAATTAATTAAATTAATTTCCTAAATATTTACAAGTGGTTAACAAATTTCAGGAAAACACTACACAAGCCCATTATCTTGAAGATTAAGACTTGGCAGAGGGGACTTAGTCCCCTGTGCCAAAAATGTGTATAAATATATTAAAATGATTTAAGATTGAATTTAGGCTTGTAGCTTATCTTTGTAACTTACGGGTTATTCAGTGCTTCATAAATGTATGTAGTCCCAACTTGCAGGCTTTCTCAATAAGCACTTATCCTCCAAACAAATAAAATCACACAAGTATATCCAAATCTGTGTATTTATTAATAAATGCCACAGCACATTTCATGCCATTGTAGAATATTAACTCCCAATAGTGGTCCAGGTGTAATTCCAACACGCAAAAGGACTACAAGCAAGTAGCATGTTTTTGTTTTCCTTTATGTAAAAACAGATACTCTTAGAACTGCACATTCAGCACAGTTCATGAATTTGCTGATAACCTGTACAGGTATGTTAATTTACGTTTGCTCTTAATTTTCAAGCATTTTTGCTATGAATATAGGTTGAATATGCAAGATCAGTTGCCAAATGATAATGTTAATGGAGTCTTTTATAAATATGTTGTACAATATGACCTATTTAATTAGTAACATCTATACCTACACTTAATGGAACTATGCACTGAGTAGAAAGTTAAACATCAGACAAACACTAATCCAACCTCAAATTACTTGTGAAGATAAACACCATATACGAACAAGTCTCCACCACAGATGAAGCTGCACTAGACAAGGAGCTAGACACTTTCTACATGTCCAGAGATAAGTCACCTACAATAATAATGGCTTGTCTTTATACTGTGTTTTCCTTCACACATGTCGGGTGCCAATGGCCGGCATCCTCACCTTACTTGGCAACGCAACTATGGTACATTTTATACATTTTTACAAAATGTTGAAATATGTTTTCTTGAAAATCAGTTTAATACATCACCTCAAAGTTTATACACTTTCCATTTTAAATGGCCTTCTAGCAGATTAATTCTGTTCTTCTGCAACAGAAGAACTACATTAGATCCATTAAATGTTCTTTTTATATTAACGACTATACTGAATAACTAAGGGCCTTGTTGGTCTTGAACCTCATAAAAGAAAATGGTAAAGAACATGGCAGTGGATTAAGGAAGGAAAATTCATCATTTAAATATGGTTAAGGGAAATATTTAAAATGGGAAGACACTATACGCATATTTAAGTGGAACACATTAATTTTTATATTTGTTTTATTTATCTATTTCATACAAAATCCAGAGAAAATCAGTTACTGTAACTGCATAGAAAGCAAAATTAATACTGTATACATTTTTTAACATTATGGCCAAGGTTTATGATATTACACACAAACATGAACAAAATGCACAAAATGGCAAGAGTTTGTGGAACGGCATTAAAGGCAATTAGATTAATTCTGAGATATTAGAAGTAGGTTTCTTACACCCCACTAGTCATCCCAAAGCGAGGATAATTTCCAAAATTACAGTAATAGCACCATAAAATTCTAACTGCATTCTCAATAAAAAAAAGAGAGAAAAATTAATACAAATTGATTGTATAAATCTATGTGAAATTGGTCCCAAAACTGGTATATACTGTACTGTACAGTATTATGAAATTACTGTACTGGCTTGGTGAATTCCTGAAGTTGTACCATGTTAATGAGACTTATTGAGTCATGTAAGGCATTTCACAGCCTGTTTGTTAAGAGGTCACACAATGGGCTAATTCCTTAGAAAGTATTTTTCATTCGTCTTCTGGATATGACAATGTTTTTGAAATCTATTAGGAATGCAAAAGATACTTTAAATACATATTAATAGTGTATTCATAAATTTTGCACAATAGTACTAATGTAGTACAATACATGAATAAGATATCAAGTTCTAAGTGAAACCATCTTAAATTAAAATTTAAAACAGCATATGGAATAAAATATATCATCAAAATTCCTTCTACTTTACCATAACTGCAGGAATAATATAATTTTGGACTGGTAACTTATTCCAAATGCAGAACTGTTACTTAATGAAGTGTACTTACTGCAAAGGTAGCAATATACTGCAATAGTGTTCAAAACCACACAGGAAATAATGCTATTATATGATTCATAAATTACTTATCAGAAGACAGGCAAAGTCGCAAAATTTGTGACTTTGTCGCAAAATTCGACAAAACGAATAAGTCACAAAACAATAAAATGAATTTTTTTTTAAATACAAAAAATTGTCTGATCAATTTATTATATATATATATATATATATATATATATCACACACATGTGCCTAGTAGCCAGAATGCAATACTTGGCCTACTATGCAAGTCCCAATTTGCCTAATTAGCCAAGTTTTCCTGAATTTTATATATTTTTCTAATTTTTTTCTTATGAAATTATAAAGTTATCTATTTCACTATGTATGAGTTAATTCTTTTTAATTCAAGTTCAAACTAATGTAGATGTATGACCGAACCTAACCAACCCTACCTAACCTAACCTATCGTAGCCTAACCTAAACTAACATAATTAAATAAATAATTTATGTTTTAATAATGTTTAATAATAAATAATGTTTTTAATATAATATAATAATAATACTGTACTTCAAATAAACCAATTGGAAACATTTTTACTGAAAATAAAGAAAATCACTCGGCCAATTAGGCAAATCGGGCCTACCATAGTAGGCCGAGAAGTGCGTTCTGGCTACTAGGTATGACACATATCAAACAAAAAATATCAAAATGGTTTGTGAGCTACGAAGAAGATGCTCTGATATTCATAGTTGAGCATGGAGCGTGGGTTGTGTGTGTAAGCCGTGCTAATCCCCTTTTCCTCAACCTGCAAATCAAATACAAAATTATTGTAATAACACAGGAAATGATACAAGGAAAATTTAGTTTGTGGACAGTGACTAAAACAATGTTGTGAGTTCTAGTAAAAGAAATTCTTCAGATTTGTTAATGATTACTAGTTAATTTCGGTGATCATGTCTACAGAGAACTATTTAGAGAGTTTTTACCATCACACCACCATTTTAATAGAGTGGAACCTAGGTTTACAAATGCCCCACTTTATTAATTTTTTAGTTTACGAGCTCAATTTGTTTGAAAAATTTGACTCTGTTTACAAGCTTTGCCTCGCTTGGGGAGTTTGTTGATATACGTATGGGTTGACCGAGTGAGTGGTTCCTGGTGGCAAGGGCGAGACGCGCTTCAGTTTACTAGTCTTTCCCGACTAGTGACGATTGCACTTGAATTCTTTGTCAAGAAATTCATTGTTTTTGTTTTTTTGGTTTCTGAACATAAAAGCGATTATTATATATCATGCCATGGGTCCTAAGAAAGTCAGTGGTAAGGTTCAACCTAAGAAAACAAATGTGAGGATGACGATAGAGGAAAAACAAGATCATTCACAGCGAGACAATATGATTTCTCACTACAGATAAGTATTAAACCATAGGGAAAAACAAGTGTCTATAGACATTCTTAGTAAGACAAGCAAGCGATGAGCCACAACCAGGTCCTAGTGGTATGCCTGCAAAACGTAAGAGAGAGAAAGAGTACCCCAGAAATGTCATCACTGCCTGATGTTATAATGGAAGGGAACTCACCTTCCAAACACTAACACCTCTCCTCCCCCTCCTCACCGTTTTCCATACGCCAACAAGTCATCAATAAAGGTAAGATGTAACATGTACATAGTGTAGTACAAAATATTTGTAGTACTGTATTATGTATGAAATGTATTTTTAAGTTAATATTTTTGGGAGTGTGGAATGGAGTAATTCAATTTACATTATTTCATATGGAAAAATTTGCTCTGGTTTACGAACTGTCTCTGGGAATGGATTAAATTCGTAAATGGGGTACCACTGTATTTCCCACCATAAGAGTGGAAAGTATTAAATACTTCATGTATAAACCTGCCATATTCTAACCCTCAAAGCTGCTAATTTTAGATAATTTTTCACTTTAATAACGTGGGCTATGTTATTAGCTCCTAGAACATTATTAAAACTTATATGTAATGACAAAGAACACCTGGCAAATTTGTGTAGAACTCTGTACAAACATTGTATAGTTTATGTTTACGAGCGCTGACTTACCGTAATTTTAAAGCCAATGCCCAAGATAATACTTTTCACTTCCTCATAGCTGGGTTCAATAGAAAGTTCCCCAGGCTGGTCTGCGAAGTGGTACAGAAGTGGCCCCAAGTTCACCCAGTATCCACCTGGAAAATAATCATTGAATGGCACATCAGACTGCAAAGTAGATACAGAACTTGAAATAAAATTGAGATGAGACTAAGCTGGGAACACATCTTCTCTTTCTTCTTCCCACAGAGTCACTCCCGACTCGATGAAAGTCTAAATTGTGGCGGTGTAAAAAACAATTTTAAAAAATAAATGAGTTAATTTTGTTTGAAATGAAACTAAATGAAGCTCCATAACAACATTAGACTACACAGGAATAGGTTTGATGGTTAGTGAAGATGATTTCTTGCCACAGACTGGTCTTACAAGCAGCTGTGGCCAAAACACATGACGGCATCACGTTCACACAATGTTTACAATACAGCAGTGTACTGGATCATAGGGCACTGCAGTTGCAAGTTTTGGATGCTACATATGCTTGATGTAAAATAATGGAATGGTATAAAGTCAATCAAAATATTCAGTCTTCGAACCATACATGAGGACTTGATACAATGAGACAGTACTTTCAGGGTGCCAGATTCCTAATTCTGTATACATTACTAATAAAATCTTTCTAACCTAGTGGGTTCACCTCAAAACAAGGTGAAAAGAACATTTTAGACGTACAAAGCTTGTGGATCTATGATCATCAATTAGTTAATATTGATTATAACCTTCTATTAAAATATGGGTCCCAGTAGTACAGCTCAGTTCATTCTCAACTTGCAATTAAGAATTCTGGGTTCGAATCCCAGATGGGACAGAAATGGCTGGGTGCATTTCTTATCACTTAATGTGCCTGTTCACCTAGCAGTAAGTATATACCCAGGAGTCAGTCAGCTTGTTGTGAGGTAGCATCCTGGGAAAGTGGTCAGTAATTCGACTTATGATGTTCATGATTCACCCATGATGTTTGGAAAATGTTACTCTCTGGACTGTGTTCGTTTGTGTGTCTTGGGCTGATATTCCCACCCTCCTTCAAAGCAAGTGGGGAGGGTGGGGGAAACGAGTTGGCACTTGTTTGCCATTACCGTTTGGTACGAGTCGTTAGAAAATTAAAAAATTGTTTGTTTACATTGTTAACAATGTAAACAGTGTAAGGAGAGTTTTTTGGCGATTCTTATGGATGCCGTTTAAATTAAAGCCAGAGGTTGTGTGATTTTTTTGCCGACTTTCCACGGTAGTGGCATAAATATAATTGTTACTGCTCCCTACATTTCTGTGAGGGTGAAGGGTTGGGCCAGGTTATGGCTTGTGGTCCCTGGTATATCAATAGCATTCAGCAGCTGATGTGACCTAGTAGATGGTACACTATCAATGATAGTAGCTTCAGGGAGCCACTGAGCCTCATCAGAGATTGGCATTTCATTACATTCAATGCTGGTTTTATTATATTATTCCAAAATTTTTAAGTCATCATTCATGTACTAAAATACTAAGTAATAGTCAAACTGTAAAAAAAAAAAAATTAGTTGATTATTATTTACCGATATGAATTTATGCTTGAAATTAATGAACTGGTAATGCTGTGATGCTGCCGGCTCCTCCCCTACTACTATTGTTGTTCCCTTTTCCAAAAACATGTAAATGAGGTTCAGATTAATCTAATATATTGTGGAAAGCATTCTGATGCTAGAATGTTCCCTCAATAATATTTATTATTATCAGCGAGTATAATTAATTTTGCCAGAGATCTGGACAAACATAAGCAATGTCTTCTCCTGGGTCCTTCCCTACTACTGAAATCCAGTCCTTGTCTGCCTTTTGACATGAGGCTGTCTACAAGAATTTGAGCCATCCTGGGTCAGAAACTCAAGGTGTAAACAGTGTTGCTCCTTGGTGGTAGTAGGCATAAGTAATCAAACTAAGCAACTGATGGTTGATCACTTTCTTGGCAGTTACCTGTGATACCAAGAATGGTTTGGAAAGGCTTTGAACTTTTTAATGAGTGGTCTTCTGTTATTTATCCAGAGTTGGACCGAGTATCTCACCGATGACTACCTAGCATGTTGTAAATGGCTCTGCATGAATAGATTGAACAGATCGCTGTTCAATCGCTTAGGTGCTGGTGCTATTATGTTGTCCTGTCTCGCAACACATCACCTACCTTAGCCTTCACACAAATGAGAAATATTTAGATTGATTTTCTAAGTTTAGCAATTGAGAAATATTTATCTAATTTTGACAGGTATTCAGGAACCAAGAAAAAATATAATTTTGTACTGAACTTGTATCTCAATGTCTTTTTTAGCGAGAATGAAACACTAAAGAACTATAATTATCTGTTTATTCTACTTCAGATTTGATTTCTCGCAGCTCTTTGAAATACTTACCAGGTTTTAAAATTTTGTATATTGTTTCAATAAAAGCCACAATATTATTCGCACAGTCCACAAAGAAGCATGTAGCAACACAGTCCCAAACACCCACTTCAGTATAAATCTGGAATATATAAAACGACTTTAAATAATTGCTTATATATTAAAATAATAAGTACTGAGAACCACTTTGGCATGCATAGTTACTAAATTTCCCGCACTCTATGGAGTGGAACGCCCAGAGAAAATGGTGAATAATAATAATTCCTTCCTGTCAAAGACAGGAAGCCTGCACTTAGGCTTACTGAGGTCCCCTTAAGCCCACTACTGACCTTTCCCAGGATTCAACCCAAAACAGTTGCCTAACTTCTAGGTACCTATTTTACTGAACAGAGGAATTTGGTGAAAGTAAACTGTTTCTGTCCTACATGGGGACTCAAGCCGAGTGCCTTGATTGCGAACCAATGACGTAGAACTCTGTGCTACAGGAGACGTATAGTTAAAGAAGCCGATAAATACTGTATTCATTTTTATGTTTAATTTGCCCATATTATTATATCATTTACAATATATACCATCAGGTATAACCATGCATTACTACACCCCAGTGTCATGTACAACAACCATCCCACCACATCATGAGACCAGGTGTATACATTCCCTACTTTTATGCAAACACCTTCCACTGATTCTTGTCCCTTACCATATCTTGAGTGTTGTTCATGCTTCCTACCTGCTTTTCATGAACTCACTTCCGACATCCTCATAACTTATTTCCAGCTACCTCTCACACTTCTTCCCCTCACTTCCTCACATTCACTTCCCAATGCCTCACACACACAATTCCTCGTTGACTTACAAACTCGTTACCCACTTCTCCACACACTCACCCCACACATTCACCCCTCACTTCCCCACACACCCTCCCTGTCAGAGTCATACATATTTGAAAATAAACAATCATTTTTTTTTTTTTTTTTTTTTGAGATATATACAAAAGTTGTTACATTCTTGTACAGCCACTAGTACGCGTAGCGTTTCGGGCAGGTCCCTGGAATACGATCCCCTGCCGCGAAGAATCGTTTTTTCATCCAAGTACACGTTTTACTGTTGCGTTAAACAGAGGCTACAGTTAAGGAATTGCGCCCAGTAAATCCTCCTCGGCCAGGATACGAACCCATGACATGGCGCTCGCGGAACACCAGGCGAGTGTCTTACCACTACACCACGGAGACTGTAATCTTTTAATCATCTTTTTATACTTGATTCTTCAAAAATTCTCTGGATCATCCATTCACATGTATCCTTTTACAGTAATCACAACAAAATTTCAAGCCCTTACATACATCATTCCATGATATTCACATTAATTCATTTTGTTGGGGACAAGCCGCCTATGTCCAGCTAATATCGAGGGTACCCCCTCAGTCAAACTACTGGCCCTTCCCAGGATGCAATCTCACAAGAGTTGACTAATTCCCTGGTACCTATTTACTGCTAAGTGAACAGAGGAATTGGGTGAAACATGCCCAACCACTTCTGTCCTGCCCGGGATTCCCGATTGTGAGTCAAGAACAAACCAAACTTTCACTATGCAATAGATATTTCAGTTATCTTCAAAGAATAAATACAGATCTACCTTTTCTGAATCCTTCAACTACATTTATACACCACAAGCACAAACTCTCTCATTTCTAATTATAGTTTAACCGATCCATACTCGTCTTACTATGCTCTGTGGAGTAATGATTTTATATTGCAATCTCTACATTATTTTTTACAACTCTCTGCCCATGTAGAAAGGTATTATTTCTTATTCAACCCAATCATTTGGCTGCTAATATTCTCCAAGCTTAAACTGAATGCATCTAATGCATGACAGAGTGACTTTATAGTATCTCTGATGCCACTTTGTTCAGTCCTGGGGCTTCCTTTGTTTTCCAGAAAAAATTAATAAAAACTGGCGGGCGCCTTTACCTCTAAAAAGTCTCCAGCTGCCATTGTAAACTGTGATTGTGGTGGAAGATCAGAAGGATCCACATCGGGAAATGTAGCAGCACGCAGCTGGTCTATGTTGCACAGTGTATTGCTTCCCGTGTGAACCCAAGGGTACACGCGCAAACTATTCAGCCCACGACATCTACAGTAGAGAAGAATAAATAATATTACTTTAAAAAATTATAAGGTCAAAATTTAAAAATTATAACTACACCAAGATCTTTATACCACCAACCCTCGATCAGCCTCAGGTTGGATATCATGCAACTTCAGAAATATGTGAATTTGAATTGAACACCAAAGATCAAAGTCCACAGTCACACATTTACAAGTGTGTGATTTAGGAATAATCCCAGAAAGTAAACTGTCAGTGAAGGATCACAAGTATTAGACAGGTCTATGCTACTCTGGCCAATTTCAGAATTGCCTTTAAGTACACAGAAAAAAAAAAAAAAAAAAATCACAACCTAAGTAAGACTTAAATTATAATGTGCAGTAGCTGATGTCAAGGTCTCAAAATATATACTGCATAGGTAAAATAAGAAAAGTGCAAAAAAAAAAAAAAAAGCAACTAAATGGCTCCCAAAAGTAAAAAAAAAATCTATCTGTGGCTAGTTTTGTTGGACCAGAGCCAAGACCTGGCCTCCTCACCGAGGTGCAGAGAGCAGGAGACTATCTACCACCTCACCAGAAAAAGTGTCCATGAGGGAAGACGTGCGATGTCTGGTTATGCGACGAGATGATGATTGCTTATTTGTCTGTTGTATTGGCATGAGTGAGCCACCACCATCTAGATTGGTGTTGGAGGCAAGAGGTGGTTGGTAGGCCTGTGATCAGGTCATCTTGACCTCACTTAGCCAGTTTAGGAAGGCCACTGTGTCCATACTCCCAATGACCTTTGGTTGGACCAATTAGATGATGAGCTAAGGTAGAAGCTACATTTTGACTGGTGTTCCTATAGAGAAGTTCAGTGAAACAAACTACTAAGGTGTGGGGCTGTGGTTAGGGCAAGCAGGATTCTTTGCTGGGACATGGTACTGAGTGTCACACACATATGGTGACACCAACATCAGAAACAGAACGAACTTGGGGAGCCAACTGGGAGCTGGGGTCAGACTGCCTGGTGGTGGTAATCGGTGCTAACAAGATTCAAGGTTGTTTGAGTGAATTCCTCATTCTGTGTGACTTGTTTGCTGTAGGTGTTTGCCAAGGTACCTCACCAAGGAAAAATTGCCAAGGTACCTCACCTTGGCAATTTTTCAAGGTTTCATTTTCTGTAAACCCTTTGGTTGTTTGTAAAGCTGTGCTGACTTTCTCAAAGTTTTTTCTGGCGAGGTAATGGATTGTCACCTACTCGCTGCACCTCTGAGGAAGATGTGGCGCTGGTTCCCTAGAAGGCCAAAACAGAACTAGGCCACAACTGATGTAACGTTTTAGTATGAACCAGTCTCAAGAAGATAGCGTCAGGTGGCCACAGGGGGCTCCCTTCAGTAAATACTTGGTGCTGTACTTTATTTGCATTATTCATTCTTTTCAATACAGTACATGGTAATATTTTTATGTCTGAAACCTATCTCCATTTTTCCCATAACTATCAGCATTTGTGGTTTCACTATTCATGGGCATCTAGCAAACATATTCGTCAAGAAATAGCAAGGATCTCCTCTACTGCGCTATCAGATTTAGTTTAATGAGCTGCAATTTACAAATGGTAATCACTTAAAAACATGAAAACTGTAGAATTTCTGGGAGAAATAATTTGTGTAAATAAGTTTTAACATATAAGCCCAGTTAAATTGTTTTTACTATAAGGAAAGTTGAAAATATATTTCATTAATTCTCCATTAAACTTAATATTAAATGAGCCTTTTAATGTCTTTGATAGCCATTTTCTAATTGTACATAGCGTACAGCTCAAGCATTCAGTAGCAGTGTCGGCACAACGCGTAATTCAAGAAATTAATTTGAAAAAATATAGCAATTTTTTGCCATGCTTAAGCACACTTTCCACAAGAATACATAAATTACTTACTTGTTAAGGACAAAGTTTGATGCAAAGAGCATAAATAGACTGAATTCATTTCCTTGGCAAGCATAACCTCGTCTTGCCAGTTCATAAGCCAAACGGCCAAGTCCAGCGCCAGGAACCAGTATGCTGATATCTTGGGCACACCTGGGAATACAAATAAATTTATAGATTTACATACATGGGTTAAGTGTGCATCAATTTTCCCCTCTTTACAGTATTATAGAAATATTTAGTAAATCAAAAACATGACAGAGCGTAAAGAATTTCCTTCAATTACTCAAATCCAAGCATTACACACATCCACAATGAAATCATAATGAAGCAATATATCTGAAAATAATGAAGCTGTATAATGGGATTGAACCCACACACCTGAACTCCTCAAGCACATGCACTACCAACTGGACCACGATGGGCTTACAGGTATAGTATCTCAAGCAGAAATACTACTACTACTACTACTAATAATAATAATCACAGACATTCAAGAGCTAAATACAGTGGAACCTCGAGTGACGAGTGACTCCAGTTACGAGTATTTCGCGTTTAACGAGCGAGCCACTCGCAGAAAATTTGTCTCAATTGACGCGTTTTTGCTTGATTAACGAGCAAACCACATGGTGCTTCTTAGAGTTCCCGCTGGTTCTCGGACGCCTCCGACGACAGTGTTGTTATTTCACAAGATGAGCGTTTCACATGACTGTCTCGTTGCCGGAACGGATTAAATTCGTTAATCGAGGTGCCACTGTATTTAACAGGCAAGTCTTGTTAGATTTACTGCAGTTGCTAACATTACATCTGACCACAGGAAAAATATCTGCCAATTCAGTGCATAAATCAAATGATTAAAGTAGAGGAACAAAAAAGTAAGATGGTTAGGAAACTTCTAAAGCGACACAATACACCATATGAAGTAAGATCCAGCTGTGGATACATTAGATTGCAAAACCTGCCTCATATATTTTTCTTAACCATTTTACAGTCTACAGGGCATGGTCAGCCTGATCATCAAATACACACACACACATCTGTATGGAGCTGCTATACACCACAAATGATATGGTGAAAGTGCTGATAATCAAACTAGAAATATTGAATGTGATGATTGTCTTCATATTTAAATCCTCAGTAGTTTTAAGACCAACTTATGAAAATAAAATACTGCTTTGAAAACCTCACAAACCCTGCCCCAAACATCATCTTGTCGGTGATTGAAACTTACAGTATCTAAAATGGAAAAAATGTGGTAAATACAGTTATACCACAGAGAATCCCAGGAAGCAGTCTAAATGAATAGTCACCCACAAATGGCCTCTTGCAGATGTGTGACAGATTTACCTTAAACCAGTAAATAGTAGAACCAACTAATAGTATGTGCCTCTGTAACCCTCTCTACTACTGCCCCCATGATGGGTATGGGGTGCATAATAAATGAACTAAACTATACTAACTCTCCTATGCAAAATCTAGAACAAAATCCAGCATTGGGCCCCTTACACAAGGGTGATGAAACTTTCACAGATGACAGCAAAGATATGAGTGAAATACTTAGGCTACAGTATGATTCTGCTTCCAGTGAACTCTTGAACTCCTTTTAGATCAATGATCCAAATGAATTCTTTATGAATGTGACACATCGAACTATGTATCAGATTTCATCCTAACCCCATTGGACTTTGGTAGTGGTAACTGGTATTAATGAGTTTTTATTTCATTTTAGTGACTCCCTTGTTCTGTGTGACTTGTTTGCAAAGCTGTTTGGCAATTTTTGAGGCTTCATTTTCTGTGAACCCGTCCAGGTGTCTGTAAACCCGCACTGGGGGATTTTTCTGGTGATGTGGTGGATTGTTACCTGCTCCCTGTGCCTCTTATGTAAGGGCCCAGATTCTTGGACCCTGGTGGTCCAGTAAGACCTATCCGCAATCAATGTAACCTCTTAGTATGAAGAAATCTCAAGAAGATAGCTTTACGGAGCCACACGGGGGCCCCCTCCAGGAAGTATGCAATTATTAGCTCAAACTGGGAGAGGCACACAATTCAAACATTTAATGTTATTTTCTGAGGTAATACTTGTACTGTACAGTACTAATGGATAAAACAAATGAGCATATAAATGTTCATAATTTAGTACAGTGCACAGAAGGCAGAATAACCAAATACTGTAAAGACTTTCCTTCAATATTTCTGTTGCTCTCTCAAAACCTACAGAAGCTCAACAATATAAATACTTAAACACAACTGAAATGCTGAAGTAATGAACTTGAATTTTACATAATACTATATACAATACTCTACTGAAATAATATATACAAATGAATTTAAGATACAAACACTTTATTCTCGGGAAAAAGATGTTCAACCTGTCGTATGATTGGGCCATAACACTGATTTCTTTCATGTTCTCCTGAAGTTGACCAATCCCGAACAATTTGCCTTATGGTTGATTGAACTTTCTCAATATCAGGGGCCAACAATTTATTCCCATGGTCATCCTCTATGTTCTGCAAATATTAACACAAATTTCAATAGTACAATATAATATACTGTTGCATTTAATTATTTAATTCTAAGCATCAAGTGCAAAATATGAACTTTATATTCTTAAACCTATACTATTTGCTGATGATACTACCTTCATCTATTCTGACCCCAACTCCCACACACTAAATAATATTGTCAATAATGAATTAAAAAAAACAGTCCAATCATGAATGTTAACCAACAAACTCACACTAAACATGGAAAAGACTTACTACATTTTATTTGGTAGTAAATCATCAAATCAAATTCAACTTCAGATAGACAATGTTAACATTAACAATGATCCAAATGAACTATAACAAACTCTGTCTTCAGACAACACACAGCCCCCTGTTGACGTCCCTTAACATGCTAAACACACACACACACTCCACACATTCTCTTGTGCTACTTACATGTACAAAACCTTGTTCCTAAATGCTAATCTTGATCTGAAACTTTTCCCTTGATAGGTGTAATAGAACCCATGAGCACCACACAGAAAAAATATTTCTTTGATATCCTCAGTCAAACTAAATCTGGGCAAACACTCCATGCAAATAAAAGGATCCAGTCTTTGGAACTCGCTTGGAACTACTATTTATACGATAAGTATATGTCGATATAAAAACCTACACGCAGGTAAACTAATGCTATAGTATAAACAAACATTATCAATATCCTACCAGAGGATCGTGCTGCACATTCTCAAACATATTTTCTACATCCTTAATTATTAGTTTTATTATCTCGGCATTATGCTCTATGCAAGTCCTTTGTTGCCCCAGGTGACTTTTGTATGACTCCAGAAGCGACTGGTGGTGCGGGGGCAGAGTTTTTATATAACCTTCTTTCTCCGTCACTTTCTTTAAGGTTTGGGACCTAAGGGTCAAACAAAAGATCAAATTAATAATGTGGAAGCATTAAGCCTTCAAATACCCCATTAAACCTATAAATAATTTAACCAAATTATTTTAAATTATGCCCAAAATGCTTTGTATACTCATAGCTTTTTGAATATGCATTATATATAACAACTAGTTAACCACTGTATCGTGCTCTAATGTATACAGTATTTTAAATAAATTCTTATCATTATTATTACAGTATTATTACTTGTTTCTCCAAGGCTATAGCTATACAGTACTCCTTTACTAAATAATGAGGCAAAAGACAAGGTCTTGTAGGATAATTGGCTTTGTTCTCAATCACAATCAGGGATCCCAGATTTTATTCACAGGTCGGAGAAAAATGGTTGCCTATGTTTCCTACCTACCCACATTGACCAGACCACCAACCAATTAGGGTCTGGTTGACAAGACCTACCATGAGACCCGTGGCCAGAGACCGGGCAACAGGAACATTGATCCCCAGAACCAACAACAAGTAGGTAGTAAGCAGTCATCAATTGCTGTCCCACCAGGGAATAAAACCTGGGATCCGAGATTGAGAGTCGACCACGTTGGGCACGTTTTCTGTCACCTAATGCCTCTGTTCACTTAGCAGTAAATAGGTACTTGGTTGTTAGGAAACTGTTGTGGGTTGCATCCTGGGGAAGGTCAGTACTTCAACCTGGAGGGGATGACCCTCGACACAAACTTATGTATGTATATGCACACGCTTCCTGTCCCCGACAATGGGAATTATTAAATATATGAACGTAAAACCCATAATCCTTACCTGTAAGATTTGAATGCATGGACAATTCGCTGAAAATGTTCTTTCTCCTGGGCTTCAGAATCATCCATGATCTGCCAAACAAAAATATAAGCATCGAGTGCAATCTCAATCATTGAATCTATTTTCCTCCACATTTATTTTATAGTACAGTACACTGAACACATAAATTTACAAGTAATTATCAAAAGTAGGTGCCAAGCTGGATAGACCACATTGTCTGTGTAACTGGATATTCAAAACAAGCAACATACCAAAACAAGAATAAAAGGACATATGGCAAGCAATATAATAATAATACAGTAATAATAATAATAATAATAATAATAATAATAATAATTTATTTAGGAACAGTATATACATAGTTACAGCATTACAGTACAAACATTCTGTTAGATTTAAAGATGGAGGTAGTACATACAATACCTAAAGCCACTAGTACGCATAGCGTTTCGGGCAAATAAAAGGAATCGGATTAATCAAGGACATCATGGGAGGCATAGTGAGGACCAGAACAGAGCAGCTTCTAATAAGGTACTGTATCATGAAAAAGAAGAAAGAAGTGAACCCAAGAGTTAGTCAGTTTATTTTGAGGTTGCATCCTGGGGAGGGTCAGTAATTTGACCCTGGAGGAATTCCTCAATAAAAGCCTAACATGTACTGTATATATATAAACTAGCTGCCTATCCCCCAACACAATGAATTATTATTATTATTTATTTGAGTTAAAAGGATGTCTACTAGCAAGAGTATTCTGGATACACCAGGAAGGAGAAGAGGTAGAAGAGGAAGTAAAGGCTAGTAGAGAAATGTGAGCAAGCCTTGGGAATGCTAAGTGAGGAAGCCTGGGAGTACCAAGTGAGGAAGCCTGGGAGTACCAAGTGAGGAAGCCTGGGAGTACCAAGTGAGGAAGCCTGGGAGTACCAAGTGAGCAAGCCTGGGAGTACCAGGAGAGAACTGTCATGATAGTTCAAAGTGAAAAATTATCAAGAAATCAAAGCATGAGGAGCTAGATAATGCTGCTTATAAATGATTTATGAGGCAACGTATAGTGGAAGTTTTGTTGTGTGCTCTGTATCAACACGTCTGTTGTAGATTAACGAGGATTATTCAGATCGTCACAAAATTAAAAAAAAAAAAAAAGTCCTTGAATTTTCTTAGACTGTTTTCTTTCAAGTATAGTACAGTATATTGAGAAATATATTATTTATACAGTATATGTTCTACTCTATATGTGCACAGAGATGTGTTTTATTCTTTGCGGAGAGAAAAATGCTAAACATTTTGCAATATACTGTACAGTGAAATGGCGAGTGAAACAATCATTGATAAAACAGAACAGTTCCAGCCCAAGTTGTTAAGAGCTTGAACTTGCTGTCCTCGTCGAGGCCAGTAGAGAGAATGACCTCAAGGTAGGTCTACATAATTTTTGTTCTGCATACGAAAAGTGCAATACACCGAGCACTCCTCGGGTCTGTTAACAATGTCTCCACAATCTTTAGCTTGAGTAAGGAGTCCTTTTGTGCGTATAATTATCGACATTGACATATTTGAAAGCACTGCGCTTTCTTTTTGACGAGATGTGATCATCCCCAAAATGCACCATGGAAATGAATTTTCATATACCGTCAAAATACAGTGTTGTATATCGAACATATTCAAAATTAATTAATTTTCTTTATGAGCTCAATCAAAAAAAAAATAAAAAATAAACAATTAGGGCTGAAATATTTACCAATACCTGTACTGTAGTCAATTATTCATGTAATTTAAAAACAAAATATCCAAAGGAACTAAAATGTGAATAAATTTGTGTGAAGTAGTTCACTTTGAGCCTTAACAACCAGGACGAGTTATGAATTAGGAATACTTATAACCAAACAATATGCAGGCGCCCCAAACTTGGGTTCCAAAGACAAACTTGTTTGACATTTACAGAGCCAACAATAGAGACATATTTACTGACAGTGTGGCCCCCGAGGCCTTAAATTAAAGGTAGATGAGCTGCGGGGGTACACAATGCTATGCATTAAAGGTGATCAACCCGGCATAGGCAACACTGAGCCCAACGTGTAGGGCTGGCCAGCCCACCAGCGGCTGTGTGAGGCCTAGCAGTGTGAGGAGAGGCAGTGTGAGGTGAGGCAGTGTGAGGAAGCCTACCTCAGGAGGTGTAGTGTGGCCAGCGTGAGACTGAGACAGCTACAGCAGCAGCAGCAGCAGGAGGAGGAGCAGCAGCACGCGTCACCCCACCGCCAGCACCAGCTGATACACAGCCCACTCCTACACCTCTCTATACCCTCTCCTCTCTCTCTCTACCTTCTCACTATTCTCCCTCCCCGTCTACCGTATATTTACTGCCTCATGCCGAAGGTCCAGTTAACTGGTATGAGCATCATACATCATGCTCTTTATTATTATACATCCCCCCCCTCATGCTGCAGTTGACTGGCGGCCAAGGTTATTTTTTTTGTATTTTATTTATATATACAAGAGTTCTTACATGCTTGTAAGAACTTGCATTCTTTATTTGGCCAATAAATAACCCAACTCAAGGTTGGGTTGATTGTTGAAGTCCTATATTGTGGCTTGTCGAGCTTGAAACCGTTGCTTCGTGTGTGTTAAATTTGGACCTTTTGAAGAAATTCTCCTAATCAACATCCACCAAATTGTTCACAATTTTAAAAGTTTCAGTGAGATCTGCCCTGTCATGACTGGTTTGTAATGTTGTTAGCCCTGTGGCCCTCAACCATTCCTGATAAAAGAGATGACTTAGCTCTTGAATGATTTTTGTTGCCCGGTGTTGCACCTTCTCCAGAGCAGCTATATATGACCTGCAAATGAGGTCTTCATGCTTGAATACAGTTAAATCACCAGTGATTTATACAATTGAATCATTACCTTCCTTTCCTTAAAGTCAAAGGTACGCTTGATTATTCCAAGGGTTTGGTTAGCTTTCATGAGTGCTGCACCTACCTCTTGTGCAACTTTCAGTGAGTGTTGGATTTTTATTCTAAGGTCCTTTTCTTCATCAATCTGCTGTAATGGAATGCTATTACTTTGGTAGTTGTGGCGTGGATTGCTATGTCCCACATGCAAGGTCTTGCATTTGCCAATCTTATCTCTTTGTAGGGCTCCAATATTATTTCCCACTTTAACATATATCTTTGTGTCATCTGCAAATTTGATGTTGTTGTTTGTAATATTCTCCTTTATGTCATTGATGTAAATGACAAAAAGGGCTGGCCCCAAAATGGACCCTTGAGGTACCCCACTTACCACATTTCTCCAGTCAAATTCGAACCCATTTAGTACGACCTTTTGTTTCAACCATTTATTTATTTATATAAGAGTTCTCACATTCTTGCACAGCCACAAGCACGCATTGCGTTTCGGGCAAGTCCTTATTAATTCATAGTGTTTGCTGCCCTTTATCGTCCATTATAACTTGGTTAGTCTCATCTTTTAAGGGTCCTCCCGAATCGTTTTGGTTTTACTTTTTATATAAGCATATAACGGTTTTGGATCTTTATATTTTGGGAAAGTTTCCTTTCGTAGTTTCTTTAGATTGATCTGATTTCTTGGGTGGCAGAGTTTAGGGCCCTTTTGTATATCTCATAATGTTGTCCAGTGTGGATTTATACGTTCTCCAGAAGTTCCGCTTGGTTCTCAATGCTCGTTTTACGACCTGTGTCATCCAACTAGTTCCCTTTTTCCTTCTTTCTCTTTTTGGCACATTGAACGAGTTCCGCGATGACGTTCTTGAAATTTTAACATGATGCTTCCATGCCATGTTTCTCTATCAGCTCCCTCCAGGTGATGGCTTGCAGTTCCTCTCTCAATCCTTGAGTCTCCTTGATGGTTATCTAGAAATTCATCATATCTGAACTTTTATGTGGGTATCTATGTTCGTCGTCCATCTTAAATATGGTTATCTTACCTTGCGGTTACCGTGCGGTTACCTTATGATGATTTCGGGGCTTAGCGTCCCCGCGGCCGTCTTTGACCAGGCCTCCTCGTTGCTGGACTGGTCAACCAGGCTTTTGGACACGGTTGTTCGCAGCCTGACGTATGAAGCACAGCCTGGTTGATCTGGTATCCTTTGGAGGTGCTTATCAAGTTCTCTTGAACACTGAGGGGTCAGCCAGTTATGTCCCGTATGTGTAGTGGAAGCGTGTTGAACAGTCTCGGGCCTCTGATGTTGATTGAGTTCTCTTTCAGAGTACCTATTGTACCTCTGCTCTTCAACGGGGGTATTCTGCACATCCTGCCATGCATCCTGGTCTCATGTGGTGTTATTTCTGTGTGCAGGTTTGGGACCAGCCCCTCTAATATTTTCCACGTGTAAATTATTATGTATCTCTCCCGCCTGCGCTCAAGAGAATACAGATTTAGGCGTTTTAGTCGGTCCCAATATTTTAGGCATTTTTAGTCGGCCCCAACATGTGATAGTGATCACATGTTGGGGTTAGATTTTCCCCCTCAATTTGATCAATCATGCCCTCTTCTGGTGTTAGCAAAAGATCAAGAATGCTGTTACCTCGTGTAGGCTCTATCACATGAGAAACAGGACTAGAAATTGCTTTTTATTTTGTTTGGTAATAAATCCATTGGTTAAATTCATTTAAGAATTAACAATATCCAAATTAGCAACAAAGTTGATGGTAAATTCCTTGGTGGTCTCATTGATAACAAGCTGAATTTCCAGTGCCACATACAAAATATAACTAACAACAATTCTAAAACAGTTGGCATTCCTTCTAAAAGCAGATATGTACCTCGCCCTGCCCTGTTAACGCTTTATTACTCTCTTATCTATCCTTATCTCATAGTATCAGTACATGAGGTTCTACTACCTAAAATCATCTATAATCTCTAATTACTCAACACAAATCAGCCATTAGAACAATAACAAACTCAAGCCCCCCCTTAAATCTTTGAATATGTTAGATATATTAAATTACCGCACACCATCTCAAGTGTACTCTATATTTATAAAACTCTGAACTGCAATGTTAATCCTGCCCTTAAACGCTTCCTAGTTCTGTTGTAACAGAAGCCATGGTATCACACTAGAAACAAATATATATTTGACTAGGCTTGCTATACGTCCATATTTTTCAGGACGTCCTAAATTCAGGTGTCAAAATTTGCGTCCGGGAAGAATTTTACAAATTCTCCAAAAGCACACAGCTTCCATTGCTTAAAAAAGTATCTATCTATATAAATAAATATTTACCTATATATTACCCCTCGTGTTGGCCCTGTTCTCTTTCACCACCTTCCTTTTTCTGTGAGTACAAATACATTTTGGATTTTTTTGTTGGCAGATTTAGATTTTTTTTGGGTCGGCGGAACTGGATTTTTTTTTTTTGGGGGGGGGAGTTTTTTGTTGGCCGATTTAAAATTTGTTTGTTGGCGGATTTGAGGTTTTTGTTGGTGGATTTTGATTTTTTTTTTATTTGCGGATTTTGATTTTTTTTTATTTGCGGATTTTGATTTTTTTGGTTGGCTGATTTTGGTTTTTTGTTTTTGGGATTTGGGGGCCCAATCACTTGGGCTGGACGGTAGAGCGATGGTCTCGCTTTATGCAGGTCGGCGTTCAATCCCCGACCCTCCAAGTGGTTGGGCACCATTCCGTTTTGGGAGGCACACACGCACGTGCATGCGTGCACGTGCGTGTGTGTGCACCGAGCGATGCTCCTCGCTGCTCCAGGACATTTGTTGTTTTGTGGGGATGAAGAACTTTTAGCAGCAAGGGAATCGAGTAAAGCTTGCAATCGAGTTTGAGTATTTACCAGAATACAAATGTCATCAGCATAACAGATGACAGCTCGTCAGCTAGTGTAGAAAAGTCATTGTTGTGCATCAACCAAGATATTGAAGAGTGTTGGGCTAAGCACTCCACCCATGAGGTGAACCCAACTCGAAAACTGCAGAATTTTTACTTTTAACCGCCTTGTGAAGGAGAGAAACAATTCTGTTATTTAGGTACCTCTCTCCTACCCTACCAACCTTTCTCCTCCTCTCTCTCCTCCCCTCTCCCACAACATCCTCTCTCTCCCTCACATCCCGTATCCCTTCCTCTTCTTCCCTCCCTCTCAGAAAATGTAATATTTTGAAGCAATTAAAAAAACAGCTAAAAACTCTATGGAAAATGCATCCTGATGTCAGACCTCATGGAAATCGCAGGTGGGTCGCTACAGATGCCGATATTTCTTAAAGAATAGCATTGGGGCCAACCTCAATCTGCCTTTGACACTCGCATATCCTTCACGTGAGCCCAAAGCGTCTGGTCTCCAACTTTGAACAGACAGACATTCTGTTTTATAGATACAGACTGCAGTCTTAAAATCTTGACCCACGAGTGCATTTTCATAGTGATGGACTTTGGCTGAGGTTTCTATCATTAGCTTCAAATTACATCGTTACGTAGATTATCATTGCTCGCTCATTATGGGAGCTGGTCGGCCGAGCGGACAGCACGCTGGACTTGTGATCCTGGGTTCGATCTCAGGCGCCGGCGAGAAACATTGGGCGGAGAACATTGGGTTTCACCCTATGCCCCTGTTACCAAGCAGTAAAATAGGTACCTGGGTGTTAGTCAGCTGTCACGGGCTGCTTCCTGAGGGTGGAGGCCTTAAAAAGCCCCGAAATCATCTCAAGATAACCTCAAGATAAGCCCCCTAACTCCTTCTTCAGTAGCACTAATATGCATCATTCTCAACATGCTTTATTTAGGTGGGAAGTAAAACACAATTAAAGTACAGTTTTATTTCAACATTCAGTATGCAACACAAGTTTGTTTTCTTTGGCAGTCTTCTCTACACCCAAAAATAATGTATTCTTGCATGGCGTTGGGACGCATTGTATATAATGTGTCCCAACGCCTGAAAATATACTTCGCATATATGAAATATATTTAATTAAAAAAATATAAATATAAAAAATTATAACATTAGATAACTCGAAAGTTTACGATCCAGAACAAAATACTGGATGAAGGTCGATTGTCCACATCATGTTGGGGTGTTCAACATGAGTAACTCCCATGTTGGGGGTGTTCAACGTGAGTAACTCCCATATTGGGGTGTTTAACGTGAGTAACTCCCATGTTGGGGTGTTCAACATGAGTAACTCCCATGTTGGGGTGTTCAACATGAGTAACTCCCATGTTGGGGTGTTCAACATGAATAACTCCCATGTTGGGGTGTTTAATATGACTACCATGAAAAACTAAGTACTGTATAGTTAAATTCGTAACAAAAAAATAGGAATTTTGGCACTATTAAATTTAATTTTCTTTCATAAAAATATTAAATTCGTCGTTCTGGAAATATTTAACGATAAATAGGAAAACTGTAATGGCGAGGCACTGATATGGAAGATCGAATTCTATTTAATATATTCAAGCGAAGTGTTAAGGCATTCAATTCTGTCTTAACGCTTCGTACTGTTTCACTAGATAACGACTTTCTTGTAGTCTAAAGGGTTTACATTGTCTCTTGAGAACCTCTCCTCTATGAAGCGGACGAGAAGAAGGCATGGAGCGATTAAAATACATAAACACAGACCCTTACACCCATAATATGGGAAATCAATAAATATTTTTCCTTGTAGAAACAAAAGATGCTAGGCTGATGTTTATTTTTTTTTTGCGTTGCTGTTTGAGGTGATGTTCTAGGACCGTACTAAATATGAATTTGACATTATTCTTAACGTCTAAGCAAAAACAATTGTCAATGCTCTATTTTAGATGTGTTAGTCTATGAAGTAAGCAAATCAGATCCTTAAATCCTAGACAAAATTGAATTTTCAACTGCTATACGTCACAAAAAATGTCATAGAAGTCATTCATCAAAATAAATCAAATATTTGGTTCTATGTATTCTTTCTAAAATATTAAACATAAATGGCGCTGTACCTCAGCTGTCTACAGGAGAAGACGCGTCTGGCGAATAGCCTCATTTATGAGAGTTGTGAGGTTAATGAGGGCTGGGCCAGGGACCCACACCTTATGAGGGCTGGACCAGGGACCTACACCTCGTGAGGGCTGGGCCAGGGACCTACACCTCATGAGGGCTGGACCAGGGACCTACACCTCGTGAGGGCTGGGCCAGGGACCCACACCTTGTGAGGGCTGGGCCAGGGACCTACACCTCGTAAGGGCTGGACCAGGGACCTACACCTCGTGAGGGCTGGACCAGGGGACCCACACCTTGTGAGGGCTGGGCCAGGGACCTACACCTCGTGAGGGCAAGACCAGGGACCTACACCTCGTGAGGGTTGGACCAGGGGACCCACACCTCGTGAGGGCTGGGCCAGGGACCTACACCTCGTGAGGGCTGGGCCAGGGACCTACACCTCGTAAGGGCAAGACCAGGGACCTACACCTCGTAACTCTACTAAGTGATCTCACTCATGTCAAAATCTCATCCAACTATATTTGGTAATTAACACAAAAAAATAGTTTTTTGCAAAATATCTGAATACTGTACGGACTGACTACATGCTAACAATTACCATCTAAAACTCACTTTGGGCTCAGAATGAGGATTTGCTGTGCCACCATCGGCTTGATGAGCACACGATGCCCTCAGGCAGAATTCTTGGGCATATTAAAATAATTTAAAAAAGACTATAATAGCATTAGTTAACACTTGGAATGTAGCGGTGGAAGCCAGTGTGGTGGCAGCGCACGTCCTACACATCTACAACATCTAGGGCTAATGTTGAAACAAACGAGTTACACTAATATTTCCACTATTCCATAAGGCAACAGTGTATTACAAGGGGGTGAGAGACTTCCCTATGTGCTCGTACACACCCACAGCCGGCTGGCTCCGGGGACCTGCTGCCCCGAGGGCCTGCTGCCTCGGGGGGCCTGCTGCCCCGGGGAACTGCTGCCTCGGGGGCCCTGCTGCCCCGGAGGCCTGCTGCCTCGGGAGGCCTGCTGCCCCGGGGGCCTGCTGCTCCGGAGGCCTGCTGCCCCGGGGGCCTGCTACCCCGGGGGCCTGCTGCCTCGGGGGGCCTGCTGCCTCGGGGGGCCTGCTGCTCCGGGGGGCCTGCTGCTCCGGAGGCCTGCTGCCCCGAGAGCCTGCTGCCCCGGGGGCCTGCTGCCCCGGGGGCCTGCTGCCCCGGAGGCCTGCTGCCCCGGCAACAACGTTTAGCTTGACGTGGTAAAAAGTGTGGTTAGGTCTGCTGGGTGGCGCACCACAACAACAATGCGTAAACAATGATCCAGGATTGACTGTCAACAAGCCAGACCTTGGTTATGTACGAGAGTTAACGAGACCAGCTTACAAACACACGATTATACACATAGAAGTTTACACAGTCGTGTCGAGGCGGGTAATTCAATGCTCTCGAATACCTTGCCAACCGTGACATATGTTATCATGAACACTTACTTGAACCCATATAGAAGTGGCGGGCATTATTGAGAGTATTGGACCAGCTGCGACTGACCTAACTAGCCTAATGAATTAGAAGGAGGTTTCTTGTAATCAATTCTGCACTATTGTAAAAACTTTGTAGGTAAGGCAAAGATAAAGTGAAGACAGACACACACGACTTGCACGAAATGGATAATATTAAAGATCTAGTAGAGCAGTGGAAGGTCTCAAGTTGAGGACTAACAGGTCTCTACAGTATTGACGACTAAGAGGTCTCTAGGTAACGGCTGAAAGGTCTCTAGTTAAGAACTAATGTCGCTTCTGAGGACTGGGAGGTCTCTAATAAAAGTCCAGAGTTATCTTACCTTGTGTTTGTTCAGAGATTGCAAGGCCTATAATCATTGCAAGGTATATAGTCATTATAGGGCCTATAGTTATTACAAGGCCTATAGTCATTGCAAGGCCTATACTCATTGCAAGGCCTATAATGATTCCAAGGCCTATAAGCATTACAAGTACTATATATATTTTACAATCATATAGTCATTGCAAGGCCTATACTCATTGCAAGGCCTATAATGATTCCAAGGCCTATAAGCATTACAAGTACTATATATATTTTACAATCATATAGTTATTGCAAGGCCCATAATCATTGGAAGGCCTATAGTCATTGGGCGTTTATTAACACCTTCTCTGATTACAAAAATTATATGCAAATTATTCCTCACACACATACAGGGTATATATATTTTCCTCGGAAAATCACGAATGAATTTTAAATTTAACACCAAAACTTTAACAAAATTAATGCCTAATAAGGAGGTTAAATGGCTGAAAGATGTGTGATCGGTAAACATTAACAGATGTGGTGTGGCTGGGTATGGTGGTGGCTGTGTGGTGTGGCTGGGTATGGTGGTGGCTGTGTAGTGTGGCTGGGTATGGTGGTGGCTGTGTGGTGTGGCTGGGTATGGTGGTGGTTGTGTGGTGTGGCTGGGTATGGTGGTGGTTGTGTGGTGTGGCTGGGTATGGTGGTGTGGCTGGGTATGGTGGTGGTTGTGTGGTGTGGCTGGGTATGGTGGCTGTGTGGTGTGGCTGGGTATGGTGGTGGTTGTGTGGTGTGGCTGGGTATGGTGGCTGTGTGATGTGGCTGGGTATGGTGGTGGTTGTGTGGTGTGGCTGGGTATGGTGGTGGTTGTGTGGTGTGGCTGGGTATGGTGGTGGTTGTGTGGTGTGGCTGGGTATGGTGGTTGTGTGGTGTGGCTGGGTATGGTGGTGGTTGTGGTGTGGCTGGGTATGGTGGTGGTTGTGGTGTGGCTGGGTATGGTGGTGGTTGTGGTGTGGCTGGGTCTGGTGGTGGCTGTGTAGTGTGGCTGGGTATGGTGGTGGCTGTGTGGTGTGGTTGGCTAACACTCCCACACTACCACTCCCACACTACCACTCCCACACTAACACCTCCACACAGCAAGGCTACTACTGTGGGAACCCGACCGGCTGTGTGTGACACCTGACCACATATTCAGCCCGTCTTCTCCAGCGTTCCCAACATCATTAAACTGATGCACTAAATTGTCCGAACCTAACCTAGCCGAGGACCCATGGATAGAAAACTGGTTATCATGTCAAATTTACGAGCCTCCATAATTTGTTGTACACGAGTTGTTGGCCTTAGGGGACATATACGTCAAAATGCGAAGTACTATTCGACAGGACAGGTTAAAAACCCGATAGCCTAAGCTACTCTATCCGTTTGAGATGTATTTTTTCCTTGTCTCAATGAACATACTTGAACTTGAACCCAAGCACACATTTGAAGTTTCGACAGCAGTTCTGTTTAGTAAGAAAGGAACGGCAGGTCCGGACAAAATGGTTCCGGTCGATCGCCCAGCGGAGCGAGGCTACGGCCGTAAGGTTATGCCAGAGGCAACACTACCTCAGGCAACTTTACCGCGTACGGCTGGCATTGGTATGGTAAGTAACCGGAGGTTGGGGTGGCTGGAGGAGGCGAGGCTCGCGGTAACTGATGGCTGTGTGACTGTAAGCAAGAGGGTGTGTGACTGTAAGCAAGAGGGTGTGTGACTGTAAGCAACCGGTGAGTGGCTGTAAGCAAGCGGTGTGTGACTGTAAGCAAGAGGGTGTGTGGCTGTAAGCAAGCGGTGTGTGACTGTAAGCAAGAGGGTGTGTGACTTAGCGAAGGGTGTGTGACTGTAAGCAAGGGGGGTGTGTGACTGTAAGCAAGAGGGTGTGTGACTGTAAGCAAGAGGGTGTGTGACTGTAAGCAACCGGTGTGTGGCTGTAAGCAAGCGGTGTGTGACTGTAAGCAAGCGGTGTGTGACTGTAAGCAAGAGGGTGTGTGACTGTAAGCAAGCGGTGTGTGACTGTAAGCAAGCGGTGTGTGACTGTAAGCAAGAGGGTGTGTGACTGTAAGCAAGCGGTGTGTGACTGTAAGCAAGAGGGTGTGTGACTTAGCGAAGGGTGTGTGACTGTAAGCAAGGGGGTGTGTGACTTAGCGAAGGGTGTGTGACTGTAAGCAAGGGGGGGTTTGTAGCTGTAAGCAAGGGATGTGAATGTGCGTGAGTTGGTTATAAATGAGTGTGTGAGGTAGTGTAAGTAAGATAAAGAGATAGTGGTCAGTACAATACTGTCACTACGTTAACTTCATAAATTGCTCGCACCTTCTGCAGACGGTAACATATTTACTCATATATAAACACAGTAACTATCACTAACATAAAAAATACAGTTAGTTTAAAAAAAACAAGAAAAGAAACTATCCCAAAAGTTATTTATAATGAAAATCACAAAATAATGCAAGCCTTGTTAGATGAAAATAATCTTAACAGAATTAAAAACTAATTTTCACAATCTAAACAAAACGGTAAACTATATCAAAAGTGGGGACTAAACCTCTTCACTGGTAGGGATGACTGAAGGTAGTGACAACACTGAGGTTTGGATAAACACTTCGGTACTGGAGAGAGATTGAGAGACCTGGAGGGGGACGTCTGGATGGCAGGAGGATGTTGTTTGTCACCTGGAGACCTGGTGGGTGTTGCTGGATGTTGTTTGTCACCTGGAGACCTGGTGGGTGTTGCTGGATGGCAGGATGATGTTGTTTGTCACCTGGAGACCTGGTGGGTGTTGCAGGATGATGTTTGTCACCCGGAGACCTGGTGGGTGTTCCATGATGATGTTTGTCACCCGGAGACCTGGTGGGTGTTGCTGGATGGCAGGATGATGTTGTTTGTCGTCACCTGGAGACTGAAACCAAGCCCAACGAAGGAGACCATCGCGCGGAGAGGAGAGTTTGAAGGACAGATGACGCCTCGAAGGAGAGTCATTAGACGTTAAGAAGCCATGGACAGTTATTATCTGGAACGTTAGTGGTCGTTGGTGAGTGGTAGAAACGTTAGGGAGAAAGTCGTTCGTAACATTAGATAACTTTGAGAAATTGAATGTGTTTTTAGGTGTCGTGGAGGCCTTTTTTGGAATGTTGGTTGACGAGGAGAGTTACTTGTCCTTTTGGAGAGGCGGCTAGGAGTTTTGGGAGGCTAGGAGACACGAAGGAAGTTGGCTGGTACCCTGAAATACTGAAGAGACACGGATCATCTTGGTATATTAAGCAACTTGAAAATTAAGAAAAAATTGAAAAATGAACAACTGGGCAGGTACACAGAGGGCAGCACAAAAAATGAATTGCAGTGATAAATTACACAGTACACACAGAGCAGCATAAAATTGATTTTCAGTGATACATTAAAATTATTATAATTATAATTATAATCTCCCATGTTATTGTGACTTTGTATCACGAGTCACTGCTGGAAGTGTGTTCTGAAGACAGCAGACGGTGGATTAAACGAAGCCTCCTCTTCACCTTCACTCTAGGAACGAGCTCCCAGATGATCATCGTTCCCAGATCATTGTTAGTTTATTCAGGTCTTTCTTATAAAAAAGCAAGCTTAAGAATAAGTTATATATCACTAGGAAAGGCAGCTGAAGATAAATTGTCTCCTGTGTTGTGTAATGTATCCGGTACAGTCATTAGGATTGTATCAAGTATTGTTCTTTGTTTCGTCCTTTTTTCATTGATCATGTTAAATTAAAGCATAGTCATTTTTTATAGAAGGCATAATTATTAATAGGAAATACTGCTTTACAGTATCTTCCGTTGTATAATTATGAATTACTTAATTTTGTAAAATCAAACATGAAGGTTCAACCATTTTTGAATAAAGTTATAGAATGATTAATTCAATTTAAATTATTAAATAAAAAATAACGTAAAATTTTATATTTGTAATGCATATGAGGTTCCTTATGAATAAAATATTTTATATTTTTTAATTTTCTAGGCTTACCTAAACAAAGGTCAATCAACTGGATCAATTTTTCTATCAAAGATGCAAAGAAATTAATCAAGGATATTGAAAAAATCAATAGGACAAAAGTGGGGGAATCTATGACAAGCCGTGGGCTTCCTGTCCTTGTCGAGGCCACTAAGAGTGTTCGTGGCCCTTAGGTAAATTCTGGTAAATTTACTTTATATGTCTTTCTCATATATTAAAGCCTGTAAATAATCCTGTATTTCATCACTGACACTCCCTCTGGATTTGTTTGGGATTAAGTTTAAAGGCCTCTCACCTGGAACGATAGTTATTAAGTGAACACGTGGCAGTAGTTCACTGACCAACTAGCAAGTATATTACATTCCTGAACATATTCCAGTGTGTGTATATACATCTATATAATGGGGTATACATTTCGGTGTACATGTCATCTTCCAACACACCACAAATCCCTCAACGCGATTCTCTCTCCTCAACAATATTTAAACCACTGGAGAGTTGTATAAGGCCTCCACAGGAGTTTACAGATCAACCAACAAGTATACTTTATTCCTGAACATAATTTCGGCCTGAAATAAACTATCTGCATAATGGGTAGACCGAGAAGTGGAATAATGTACTAGTGTACTGCGCGTACTAGTGGCTTTACAAGAATGTAATTACTATACTATGTATCCTCACAATCCCAATGTACCTTCTTGTATATAAATAAATAAATAAATAAATAAATAAATGTGAACTCATTTTGTTGACATACTTGGCGCTTTCCCCTGATAATTCCTTCCTTTGTTGACATACATCAGCTGATATAAAGCGAACGTGACTGGTCAGTTACCCAGCTGAGCCGGCACCGTGATTGGCTGAGTGATAAGGTGACCAATCAGAGTGAAGGTATTCACTCTGGTCAAGCGTAAAGTAGTGGCGGCCTCTGTCGAGAAGCAGGTGAGCCAGACCCAACGCCCAAGTGACTCGACAGGGATACCTTGCCGAGCGTAGCGCTGTTCTGACAGTACTTAACAACTTTCCGAACACAATTAGCGTCCGGAATACACGACGCTGCCTGAGTCTGTTCCTAAGTCAATGCTTATTGAATCCTGGCTAGCTGAATACGTTTCCAGAGGTTGGTAGTTAAGAGTCAGAAGCGTATGGTAGTGGCTTTAGGCAAATATATTAGCTCTATCTAGAACTCCAACATTCTGTTTGTAACTCATTTTGTATGTATGTACTTTTACCTGAATGAACATGATTATTATTATTATAAGCCGTGTGCAAATTGAGGACTACACAGTGACGTCATATGATGTTTACAAACACGTCCAGAGGAAGACAATTTTGGAGTTGGTGTAAACAGAGTAGTTAGGCAAGAACAGTTGATGATAACGCCCATTATCATCCCGTTACAAGTTTCATAAGTGATGGATATGGGTAAATAAAGTGAGTGTTATTGACGAACTGGCGGAACCTGCACTAGGATTTAGATTGCTGTGACAGTTAATTGGAATTAATAATATGACACTAGGAAACAAAAATGGGCAACTTAGATCTGCGTATTCAACAATTTGACCACAAAATATGACTAATGCCCAGTTAATTTGACTGGAACATTCTGTTATTCTACTTTCGTAGCGTCCAAGCGCGTATATATTATAACAACCCGGCCTCAGGTTATGTTCATTCCATCCAGCAGCCGACCCCAAAGACACAATCAACAATTTTTACAGAGTTAAGATTGGAGCAGATTGAGGTCATCGGCAAAGCACTCTTCGAGAAATGTTCGAACGTCATCAGTTTTGAACCGAATGTAAACAGTTTTTCATTCATAAACAGTTGGGGGGATTAGCGGCTGCTTGTAATTACTTTTGGCCTTTGTTGATGAGGCCGGGCTGATTATAAACTTCTCGTCCTACCCGGGAATCGAACCTGAGACGTTTCGGTTGTGTCTAACATGTGCTGGCCGCTGTTCAATCTCGTATTCAATACTCGTGTAGACAATGGCTTATATTCCAGTGTTTGACAGTGATTTTTTCATGTTAAACTTCATATTCTTAGTGCACAGTGAATCATATGCCTATTTTCTCTTTACATATGTGTTTTTATTTGGCCTTCTGTCATAAAGTATCGTTGTATAAGCGGTATTTTTACATTAAGTATAATCATGATGATCAGCGTTAGGCTATTATTAATTTCCTCATATAATATGTACATGAAAGGTTTAAAAATACATGTTCATCCATTTTATAATAATTATTTAAAAACTGTTGAATATGTAACAGCACTGTAACGATGACATATTGCTTTGCACAGGATTATGTCTTCCGTATGGAGAGTAAGGACGCCATACAAGGAAATAGAGAGTGTGGAGGCCAAGACAATGGTGGGAAGCACAAGCCTTAGGGCTCCTACCTACAAGCCCAAGCCTCCTACTTAGAATCTGACAGCATTAAACTACTGAATTATTACAGGTAAGAAAGTATGTAGTGGGAATATCATTTTCATGTATTCGGCCGAAATGTTTACGAGAGTTTCTGACACTATTTTCCAGCCCTTCTTTCTGTTTTGATAGTACTTTTTGTAACTATGAGTGCCCTTGTCTTATACGTCAACATAAGTAGATAATTATAATTAGTACAATTTGACACTTTTCACTTTATGGAGTCCGAAGAAATATAGCTAAAACCAAACGAATATTCCTAGATCTAGTATAACACATATGTACTATATTAAGCCTCAAGATAGCATATATTTGGCCTTTTTATTAGCAACTTAAAGGCAAACCAGTTAACGGTTTGTCCAAATTCAATAGTATCAAATTCTACTTTCAAATTGTCCATTACGTTAATATATGTTCAATGGTCCACCTGGTTTCTATAAGTACTGTCTAAACAGGAGGATGGGCTGATATTTTATTATATTTTCTGATATATTTTTCTACTGCCCTTAAAGCTTTATAGGGGCTCAGAATGAGGCATCTCATAATGGCTATTTGTGATCACCGAAGCTTATTATCAATCTATAATTAACAAATGGTGATTTTAAGTTTGATTAATAAATTCTACATACTACATTGCTTAGGTTAGTTTGGTTTAGGTTAGGATATATTAGCATCGGTTAGGCTAGTTTGGGTTAGGTTAGGATATATTAGCATAGGTTAGACTGTGTTAGGCTAGTTTTGGTTAGGTTAGGATATATTAGAATAGATTAGGCCGTTAGGGTAGTTTGAGTTAGGTTAGCTAAGGTTAAGGAGGTTTTAAAAACCGTTAGCGGCCCTAGGCTGTGATCCCAGCAGGCAGGAGTAGCTGGGTCTCCGGCCTGCTTGGCTCCATCTTACCTTTTAGTATCCTCTCGTCTCTATTTTTTCTCCTTTTCCTTGGGTTTATCTTCCTTCTGATCTTTGTGTTCCCTTTCTTTGGACTGTGACTTCATCCGGTCTTGACTCGGCTTCTTGTCAGGCATGTGACCTCTGGCTGTGGAGAGGGAGGAGAGTTAGTAACGGGGGTCAAAAGTGAACATGCTTAAGTAGGCTTACTGCTGTTTCTCAGCTTTTTGGGGCATATATATATATACGCCAAAAGGTGTACCCCATTTCTGGATGTAGATATGCTGGGAGTTTAGTTTACTCTTGGAGAATGTTCAGGGATATACTTACTGGATGTCAGTAAGCTTGGGTTACGTCCTTAATAACTCTCAGGTACTTAATAGGCTTTAATCCAACGCCAAACCACAATAACTTTGACGAGGAAATTGCCAATTTTTGTTTTGCAGTGTACAAGAAGGTCTAGTTTCTTAGCTTTATTTGAAACAAATCGACCAACTCCTAAGTATTTTTTTCTTTAATTTTGTCGTTGGTGTCGCAGTAGTGTTAAAACTGTCAGTAACACTGGAGATTTATGACCTATTGTTTAATCTTTGTAATGATGCGTAATCAGATTAATTTAAGTCATCAAAAAGTATATCATTTTTGTTATGTCGGGAGATGAAATGGTTGAGAATTTTTGGCGCTATATTTTCAGCGGAAAAAAATAAAAATATCGCCATGCTTAAATTTCTAAATCAACTTTGTTTCTATCTCAATTTTGTGAACATTTTCACATGTTGCACAGCGTATTGTTCTATAACCCAAATAGTTAATTTTTTAGGTGTTTTCAAAAATATAAAAACTATATTTATTCAAGATTTTTTATTATTTCTAAAATATTTGTATTTCATACATTACTCTGATAGACATGTTTTATCTTTCTTCAAAAGCCACACAAATGACTGCAATTTTAGGCTTAAGATGAACAAAATTTCAAGATGAACAAAATGTGTAATGTTTAGGCTTAAGATATTTTGTTTCGTCTGACACCCTCCCTCCTTCTCCCTCTCATTTTCTCCCCCCTTTCCTCCTTCCTTCCTCCCTCCCCCCCTCCCCCTTCCCTCCCTCCCTCTTTCTCCATCTCCCTCCCACATTCCCTCCCTCATTCTCTCCCTCATTCCCTCTCCCTTTCCATCTCCCTATCTCACCTTCCTTACTGCCCTCTATTCTTCTCTCTCCATCCCTCCCCCCACCACACAAGGAGAGGACTGGGAGGATGCGAGAGGTGCCATCCTGCTTACCTTCCTCTCCACCTCTATCCCTCCATCCTCCCCCTACCCTCCCTCCCTCCCTCTCCCTCCTTCAATCAATACGTTGTTCCTAGCGCTACATGAGCACAAAGTAACACGCTTCTCGGGCTTGCTGTGAGGGAGAACTAGCGAGAGGGAGAGTGGGTATGAGGGAGTGAGGGAGATGTAGTGTGAGGGAGGGAGGGACTAGAGTGAGGGAGGGAACACTTGAGAGGACCAGGGATTTAGGATAACTGAGAGTGACACAACAAGGATAACGAGTTATCATTGGGACTATTGTAGGGATTAACACTGGGTCTATTGTGGGGACGAAGAGACCCAGAGCACCCACGTATCTCTGTATATAGATGGAAATATCTGTTCAAGGTAGGAGAGGAGGGCGTGGAAGAGTAGTGGGATGGGTTTGAGAGAGAGGGAAGAAAGGGGGAATGTGTGGAGAAGGGAAATGAAGAGGATTGGAATAGGGAGTTGAGGGGGGGAAGAAAGACTATCCCGGGTACTACTGGGTAGACCTGGGGCCAGATTCACGAAGCCGTTACGCAAGGACTTACGAACCTGTCCATCTTTTCTCAATCTTTGGCGGCTTTGTTTACAATTATTAACTAGTTAATGAGCCCCGAAGCACCAGGAGGCTGTTTATAACAATAACAACAGTTGATTGGCAAGTTTTCATGCTTGTAAACTGTTTGACGGCTTTGGTTAAATTTATTAAACAGTTTACAAGCATGAAAACTTGCCAATCAACTGTTGTTATTATTATAAACAGCCTCCTGGTGCTTCGGGGCTCATTAACTGTTTAATAATTGTAAATAAAGCTGCCAAAGATGGAGAAAAGATGGACAGGTTCGTCAGTTCTTGCGTAACTGCTTCGTGAATCTGGCCCTTAGTCTGTATTTATGTAAGAGAATGTGTGTCCACAGTTGGAGAGCAGACACATGTCACTCGCCACATTAAACTTTGCACCAATAATGGTTAAATGGCGGAGGGGTATTGGGGCCGTGACCCCCCCCCCCACGATGGGGGGGTCACGGCTCCAATTTCCCTCCATCACGATGTCTATGGAAGTGAAATGTTCAGCTCAGGGTCCATAGACTTTTTGTTTATGTAACAGATGGCAGATTTCCATTATTTTGAAAATGGCTTCGGTTCAAATCACTTAAAAGTTGTAAACAATATTAAAAAGTCTTGGAATGAGCAACGGAAAATGTTACCTTGTCCGTCGTTATTTGAAGCTTCTTAGCTACAGGGGAATGATCAACCGTGAGTGTATCTCAAGGAACGGTGCCAGACGCAGTCACATCTCGGAGAACGGTACTGGGAGCAAGTTATTCTTCTCATAGAACGGAAACTACATATAAGAGATCTGGGAATAGGTATATATTTCTCGCACATATTTACTGCAGACACCGCAGCAACCGTAACACCAAGAGGAATATGTTAGTGTGGGTTACATGGACCTTCACGACCACTGGTGTTCATGGGATACTCTTCTGTACTCACATCTCCTTTCAGGGCAAGAGAAATGTCTGAAATATAACACATAGACAGAAGATAAACAGCTAAATTACCGCTACCTTCTGAAAGCGCTCAGAATGTACTCCAGGAATGAAGACGGGAAAATACATGCCAATACGTATTACGGAAACATTATAAATATTTTTGGAACACAATGAACAAATCCAAAATGTGTGTGTGTGTGTGTTTGGAACACAATGTTAAGTTTAAAGGAGGAAATAAGCGAGGTTTTTCCCGGAAGAGCAGGCTCGGTCGGGTTATAACTGAGGTGTTGGCCTTGGCACCACTGCCAGCATCTGCCTCATCTATGACGTCACCATCACAAGAGCCAACTTCTTGCTAGAATGTGGAGGTCGAACTCCTGAAAGGCGGACACAGATCATACACAAACGAAGCATCCCAGAAGGGTAGTATATGGTGGACAGCAGCGGCTGCAAAACTGTACATTAACTGCTGGTTCGTACCTTGAATATTGTCTCTTGGATGGCCTTCTCCCACAGCCTGTACGTGCCTATCAAGTATAGGCAAGGAGGGGAATCATCCCTATCCACTCTGGCTAGACCAATCACTGGAGCCGTCTTCACTACGGTGAAGACGGTGACCATGACACGCATTGCCCTCAAGGTAACTACCAGACGTCCCTCAAGACGTCCAGCCACCACCAGTTACACACTACCATTCCCAAGAACATCTTCAGCCACCGGACAGTCCCTCATCAGAAGCATCACGCCAAGCCAGCACACAAGTCCTGGCCACACCTGCTACACCTCCACACACCTGGTACAAACACATCTTGGCAAAGATTCTACATGTAAAGCTACCATATGGTAAAGCAATGACTAGGGGCAACGCCTTAACATGACCTGAGGTAGGACAAGAAAGTGAGAGAGAGAGAGAGAGAGAGAGAGAGAGAGAGAGAGAGAGAGAGAGAGAGAGAGAGAGAGAGAGAGAGAGAGAGAGAGAGAGAGAGAGAGAGAGAGAGAGGACAGGAGGGAGAGGAGCAGAGATACATACAAACGACACACAGACACACGAAGGGACGAAAAGTGAGCTGGAAAATGTGGCCCTGGAGGAAGAGAGGTCAAGTGGATGCTTGGAGTGGAAGAGCCCGGCCAGTGGAACAAAGATGCGAGAGAGAGAGAGAGACAGGGAGACAGACACAGAATTGGAGAGGGCAGGTAAGGAGAGAGACACTGACAATAGCTGAGAGGCAGAGATAGAGAAGTATTGTTCTAGCGAGACAGACGAAAAGGAAACAGATGAAGAAGAAATTGTTCACATTTGTCTACTGGTTGGCAGAGAACAAGGAGGTAGGGAGGCAGGTAGGGAGGCAGACAGGGAGGGAGACAGACAGGGAGGGAGGCAGACAGGGAGGGAGGCAGACAGGGAGGGAGGGAGACAGGTAGTGTAGGAGGGTCTACAAGGAAAGAAGAGTCTGGCGACGGGGCCAGAAATCATGACTAACGATCAAAGGATGACACTTTTACCAGACTCTTGTACCCACTGGGGGGCGTTAGTTGGTCCCAAGGTTCCTCCTTGTGGCGGGTTAGTTAGTACCAAGGGCAGTTAGTCACGGAGAGGATTGGTTAATCCTCAGGATAATTATTTGCCTTATGGAACATTAGCGGGTTCCGATGAGCAATTGCTTGATATGTTCCACAGAGAGCAATCACACTATCGTCACATGTCAGTGAGAAAATCCGTAGGAGCCGTCATGAGGATTCGAACCTATGCGGTGGGTGCTCCCAGGCACACGCCCCACACAACCAGACCACGACAGGGTCAAAAGAATGACAACCTGGAGTTCTACTGAACCCTCGACTTTGTTTGATTTGTTTACTAAGAGTTTTCATGGACAATTAGGTCACAGAAGAATGTCTTTAACCTAAGGTGAGTTCCCAAGAGGATCAGTTTGTCCTGTATAGCATGACCTGGGGGGGGAGGGGGGAGTCCTGGGGGGGGAGACATGAGGATGTCTGTCGCGTCGCCATGGTAACGAGAGACGCCTTAGGCTATTGGGCGCCATCTCAGCTGTTGCTGTGTGGTTGGTGGTGTGTGTGTCGTGTGGGTGTGGTCGCTGGTGTGTGTGTGTGTCGTGTGTGTGTGGTCGTTGGTGGTGTGTGTGTGTGTCGTGTGGGTGTGGTCGTTGGTGGTGTGTGTCGTGTGGGTGTGGTCGCTGGTGTGTGTGTGTGTCGTGTGTGTGTGGTCGTTGGTGGTGTGTGTGTGTGTCGTGTGGGTGTGGTCGTTGGTGGTGTGTGTCGTGTGGGTGTGGTCGCTGGTGTGTGTGTGTGTGTGTGGGTGTGGTCGCTGGTGTGTGTGTGTGTGTGTGTGTGTCGTGTGGGTG